AGGAATTCGATGATGATGTGGATTGAGAATCATCACACAGGTTCGTCACTTTTAACCACCTAGTATTATTAAAAACATACCTCGGGAGCATCCACTTCAGAAAAATAAAGAGAAATGGATCGTGCATTCCGCCTCACCACTGGATACAAGCGCTCATTTACTATCTCAATTAGCGATGCGACTCAGGCAGTTCACCATTCCCCTCATGAGGCTAATCTTTTTTGAGGAGAAGTTCGGCAGTCCTCCGAAGGTGCCTCCTCGACTACCGAGGTATTGTAGAAGAAATATGATTGGTTTAACACCGGAGCGCCGGGAAACTGAACAATGCTGTTTGGGTCTATTACATTCTCATGTAATTTACTTGGTTTTCCTGTTTAGCCACCTGTTAAGGCCACCTGTTCACTGCAGCCTTTACTCAGCTTGGGAAGTTCTAGTTTTGAGGTCAGGTCTCCTGTGAGGCTGTTTACTGAATATGGTTACACTTATGGCGAAATACACTCGTTTGGAAATTGCGTTGGTGTCCACGGGCGACTCAGCTGAGTGTCTGGTCTACAGTATTCTGCTTTGCTACGCGAAGGGCGCCACATGCTTCGGTCGGTATGACATTCGAGACATCCAAGTATTCTATCGCAAGTGAAAGGGCTAAACGTTTATTTTCAACAGATCAGAACCCGAAAAACATTATTTTCGGTACCGACTGAATAGGATTCACTATTAAGACCAATTCACTAATTTGATCGATCACATCTATTGAGTTACATTCGATGCGAGCGATGCTCAAAAATTCAGCTAATAATGTGTCGAAATTCATTTGGGTCAGTCGACATTGAAGGTGGCGAAGGGAAAGTTCTGATCACGAGCACTCTATTAACCGAAACTTCTGGATGTGGATCTATTCAACCCTCCCATGAAGGTTATCCATAGATAAGGCTGACAGCTGCAACTAAAACGATTGACAGTGTGAAGCGCCTCTCAGTATGAATTTTGGCTTTAGAAGGATCTAGTAAGCACTCTGACCCTCGAAGATTGGGGAGACCATTTTGCTCGTTACAACGCATGTGGAATGCACTGAGTATAAATCACGCCTGAAAGCACGAATGGGAAATCGTTATATCCACTGGTGAGAGAATACGTCAACTTAGATTATCGAGCGTCAAAGAATACTGATAGTGTGAGGTGAGGTGGGAATTTTAATGAAGAATTCGTCCGCAAGCCGAGAAGCACCGCACAGCTGCTTCATCTTTACTGGAAATCATCAGCAGTGAGCATCTTGAGAAACTCTAGAGGGTCTCGAACCCGCGAATTCCCTGCTAGTAGTTTAGACATTTAGTCACTCAGCTACGAGCGGCTGATCAGCAGTTTGAGTAACTCACAGAAAAGTGCGATCCTGTATGCTCACAAATTAACTTACTAGGTATAGGTATAGGTTATAAAGATAAAGCGTTCAGCTGTAGCACCCTTCCGGTACCTAGCTGCCTCACAAATTACTTACTAAGTATAGGTATAGGTTATAGGTATTCCCCACAGCTGTCTGTCGTTGACATTATATGTTTGGACTGACCTTCACGGCACTTCGCACCTAATGTGATATCTTCAGAACTTGTACGAAACCAAAACCGTCCACAAAGCCCGTGAATAGTTGTTTTAGGTGACAAAATCTCTAGACTTGTATAAGGAAGAAAACCGTGGTTTCAATGGCGTTTTCATTTCAAAACTCTGCATAAGCATGGGACACATCAGTACATGCATTCCATCGGTTGACGTCCTATGTGCGCAATTTTGGCCAGTAGGGTATACTTTCGTTCATCGTTCCTGTTCACGAAAAAATACTATTTGTTTTCGCCCCATGGCTTTCTTGGAATACATAAACACGCGCAACAACGGAATAACAAGAACAGGCGAATCGCACCAAATCCGAACAGCACGCCCCAACCAGCAGCGAACTCCGCCCCCTTCGTTCTGACGGGCAGAACCGGGAATATAGTGTGGAAACTGAACCAGTCAACCGTTAGTCTAATGGATATTACTTCGGAACATAATCCACAGCTGCGTACAGGTTGATTAGATTAGGCTGAGTGATTCAGGTATCATTCAAGCGAACTACGAACGTCAGCCACTCTTCTTCAGTGCGTTGATCACCACCCCTCAACGCCTGTGCGCGATAATTGGAATATCAGACGGTACTGTTGAAAGACCGGGCCTTGTTATGAAAGCTTTTGAAAAATTATCAAACGAGCTGTCTTCGTTTGCCCTAGGCAAGCCAAGAAATGTATCGTATCCTTTTCTCCTTTACACTGGGCAAATTCGGCATACAAGGACAGAGCAATGGTGAGTAAGTCCAGAAAGTAGGTTTTTCTCAACCGTCACCGAACACGGAATGTACCGCAAAACTGATGGCCAGGGGACAAAAACCTTTTTTTCTTTACCTCAAAGTGGAATTTAAATTTAAATGACAGAAACGCGGGGAATGTGCCTATTTGATGAGCCCCAAGATAGGCAAAACCGGTCTTGTGTTGTCGAAGATTTTTCAGCAACCTTGTGGGTAGTGTATTACGCCTATAAAATGTAGCACGATATCTCGAACATCGTAGCGACTGAAACATGAGGCAGCCGGTTGAGGAATAACCTAATGAACGAGAGATTCAGCTGGGTTCCAAGTGGGTCTCCTGTCAAAACTAAATTGGTACGTAGATGAGTGCATCAGTCTATTTTTTCTTGTTAGGTTTCCAAGCCCGGTTCTGTACTTTGATACGTAAGCTTCAAGGTCAAGCAACAGACCTAATTGCCTGACGGGCGACCGGATGTTGTTGGGTCGTGGCATTACGCAAACAATGATGTTATCGAATTATTCCAGATACACCCCAACCCTACCTCAAAGGCATACCACGACAGGCAAACCATCTGACTTTCGTCAAGCGATGCAACCTTCGATGACACTGGTGTAGTGGAATGATTTTGGAGATGCCTGTGAATGCCAAAAGATGACGCAACTCCCCGTTTTCCTTTCCAATCACGTTAGGCTTACCGCTAAAGATTTTTAGGGGTGACTCAACTATGCCGATCGATATTCACTGTGAAATTTAAATTAGCGCTAGCCACTTTTGTATTGAAAACGTATCAAAAGTTCACGACAAGATATGGAGCAAAGGACGCCTTTTGCTACGAATACGTTTCTGTCAATAGTATCATCACCGGATGAGGCAAGTAAACTATTCTTTCATCTGTCATAGCATCACAGTGTTGCGAGGGAAGTGTTGTGCGTTTGACATTCGATATTCCAATGTGACGGCCTGTTTATCAGCGGGCGAATTCGGTGTGCAGATGATCCAAACAACAAAAGCACTAGCAAAACTCATGTGGCTAGAATTTTCAAAACACCGGTTGTCCCAGTTGGGTTGATTTTAGGACGAGTAGTTCGCGCAGTACCACAACTTCCATGATGTTTGATTGAGGGTGACCTCGTTGCTCTACTTTACACTTATAAAAACCTTGGTCGGGAGGCCCTGAGAGGCGGCTCAGTTCATCGAAGCCGCCAGAACAGTTCCTTGCTCGTTGTTCAGGGTGTTGGACTCACCGGTCACATCGCTCAAGCATGTTCGCCTGTCTTCAAGTGGTGAATCAGATGCACCCAATTTGCGCTGGTGAAGTATTGACAACGCATGTCATACACCCGGGGTCCGAATCTCGGCACAGCTAAGGACATGCGCTGCTGATGAGCTCCAATAAGGACAAAACTAATCCCACCGTTCCTGGGTATGAGCTCATCAGAATAATTGCTTCAGGAGAGGGCTGTTCAGACTGGTGAGTTGAGTGAAAATTCTACAAATCCCGAGACCAACTACGACTAGATGATATTTTCCACCACATTGGTCAAAATCCGACCACTGACCGACAGACCCAACAGGTGTGCCAGACCAGGTTGCAGGTTTCAACCACGTTGTGTTCTTTGCACAGACATGATGAGTCATCGGTGTTGGCGCTGCTTTGTTTTCATGATAACTGGTAACAGGGGGTAATGTTGTGTTTGATCTTGAGATACAAACAAATTTACTGAAGGGTATGATAAGAAAACAAGGAGAGGTTGTTCAGTCAGCACATTCCTCAACGGGACATTTAAACATGGTTGACTGAACGAACAACTCGGTTGAGGCCAGGCGTCGGTCAAGGGATAAAGGTGGGTGTATCAGCGTACCACAAAGCTGTAAATATCGTCTGTGACTCTCGAAGGAAAACAGCTGTATCTGGTACGCGGTAAGCCCACTCTGAATTTATCTAGGAATTCCGGCCGATGCATCATCCTAGTGCAAGGATCCTACAAGAACCCTAAGAAACGCCAGGACTGGTACACCTCAAGTTATCTCAGCTCAGAGTGCAGCAATCAGCGAACCGTGGATGTGACTGAGAGAGAGAAGCGCGCTCTCCAGTTAGCTTGAGCGCTTGATTGGTTCTTACTGGCTTTTATTATATTACTGATCATAGTATTCTGCGGGAAACGCTGAGGAATACTTTCCGTGCAGCCTGGAAGCAATGCTGTGCTGTGAAAATTCCATACAGTGATAAAGATTGCACCCGAGGAACCATTGTCGTTACAGGTAAAAAGACTTTGTGCGCCTTTTAGAAGAATCCAAGGGTTCTCTCGCTTACGGTGTTCATCAACCGAATATGCTTCCCAGATGAAGCCCCATACTTCAGTTGGGGGGACCAACTGGTAATTCAGTTGAGGCGCCAACTGACTGCAAATCCCCGACAGGCAGCGATCTGTGACTGCCCAAGGGGACGTCCAGCTTGCAGTCTAAGAAGAGGAAAACTCAAGTTCAGTACTCTCGCTTTTTGGCGTGAACTCGATAGAATACATGCACCTCCCCCAACAGGGGGAGAGGGCCTTTCTAGCGAGTGTTGAAGTGACGTCCCTGCTGGTACATTCCTTGTAAGGCTAATGAAGACCTTTGGACTGTTCTCCCTGACTGGCGGAAATTCGGATGAACATCTGAACTGCAAAAATGGCGGTAGTATGTGGTATCGTAGCCAGGAGGGGAGACGTCTGCTTGGCCTACTCTTCGAAGAGTTTCCAGCAACCTTGTGAGTAGTTTCCTTTCTGAAAATGAGGAGCTGTTTTTTTTGTCTCATTTGACAAATGAATTGGCGGAGGCCAAAAGCCAAATACACGTGTGGTAGTTCACATGAGTTTCTTCGAAAAAACGAATGATTCAAATCGTTCCTCTGTGAAAGTTTATTCTAAGCGATTGTCTCCGTTAGTACATACTTTTGTGGAATTGCATCCAGCGAGGAAAACACGGTAACCTTAGATCACTTTTGGGTCACGGAATTGGGCAGTCAGTTTCAGATGACTGGAAGAGGGAACCAGTGAAACATTTCCAAGTCCTGCTTCTTTATGTTTGTGTTACAGATGGTGCCAGATGAGGTTCATTCAGACGAGCAGAATGGCAAAGTGAAGCCACGAGTAAGAGTTTCCTGGAAAAATGCAACGGTGGTCATTTTGGAAGCGATCTTTTCAAGATGGCACGGAGTCACTTTGAAAACGGAGTTTTTGACTACTTTTTGTCTACGAAAGATAAGCGAGTGGCTTCGCTCCACTGGAGAGTCGACACTGTACACGAGTCATGTGATTGTCGTAGTCTGCCTCAACAAGCAACCCAAAGAATTACTTGCTCCATACAAAGTGAACTTTGATCCAGATCCGCAAAGAAAATCGCGTGGATGAGTGAAATTTCAGGAGCCGAACATTGCTTGTTCGCCAGGTGATTTTCATCACCACAATTCTGGCAAAACGCTCTGAGTGACCTTTTTATCATGAAAATCATAGTTTGAAGATCATTACTTAGGGACACATAAGTCCACTTTGTGCATCAACACACTCCACTTTTCTTGAAACCCAACTTCGCCTTCTGCTGCGATCAGCCGTGATTTTCCCGCTGGCTGCTGTAATGTGCATTCCGCCTCGTTAAGTTCCGTTGGTGAAAAACTGATGTTAGGAGATTCAAACATATCTGGTTACAGAATCTACCCTGAGCCAGTGAAGAGCACTCAGGACGCATGCTAACAGACCGTAATCAATGGAGAGCCTGATGGAGTGTGGAATCTTAGGGGAACACACAAAACTTTCGAAGGTTCGGTCAAGCAACAGCAACGATGGTGGGGTTGGTTATCACAGTCTGCACACGAGGCATTCCCCCCCAACACTCCATTATTGAGGCGGACCAGCGAATTATACCTAAAAATCACCTGTGGATGAAATTGCCTACCCGCAAAATGCAGGTTAGTTTGTAATGGTAAAACAGAACAACAAAGAGTAACCCGCTGTTTTGTCTCTGGGTTTACGACTTGTCTCGGAAGTGCGTTCCCGTGTTTTCTTAGTTTCACAGTGGCGACAAGGAAACCGAGGTAATTTTCCGGCATTGCGAAAACTCATTTGAGGGTCCAGTCTTCCATTTGGTGACCTTACGTGGGATAATTCCATGAATCACGGATATATATATGCCTCACAATAAAGCTATACTATTTCAGATAACTGAAACAAAAAGGCCGGTTAGATCATGTCTACCAGGTTCGGAGTTTAAATCGGGATTGTATCCTGTACGTGAAGTTAACCTACGCCAAAAAGACGAGAAGCCTTGTACAGCTGTTTCTTCCTTGTCGAGAATCATTGCAGTACGTGTCTCACACGTGAATTCGAACCCGTGACCTCCTCCTGGCAGTTCAGGTCGATACCGTTCGGCCGTCAGCAACTGAACGGCAGTGTGATTAGCTTTTACTTCGGCAGAATATAGTATCGATGGTCCTCCATACATACAAGTCACATCACGCGGTCACCTACCTGCTCACGGGACACTTATCAGAATGCAGTTTCACGCCACTAGTGAATTATTCTTCCTTCTGTCGTAAATGCATCATGCATGCATAGACCCGTATGTTAATGACACCAAGCTTCATCGACAGCGCATCGACCCCACAGTGACTGGTCGTGTCAGAACGCGCTTTGCCGGACACGATGGTCCGCCCATTTGCGCACATGAGTGTGTGTGTGTGTGCGTCAAATGTGTGAGAGTAAAGAATGACGAGAAAATGCCGGAGCTATTGTGCAACCAAGCGCACCACTGCCGCTAACAGCTGCGGTTCGGCACGCACCGTGTACACATACACGCTTGTGCTGGTAGTTTTGATCGAAGATCACAATGTCACGTGATTGCTTCTCAGGTATAGTTTATGTGCAACCGAAGCAAAGGACGCCTTTTGCTACGAATACGTTTCTGTCAATAGTATCATCACAGAATGAGGCAAGTAAACTATTCTTTCATCTGTCATAGCATCACAGTGTTGCGAGGGAAGTGTTGTGCGTTTGACATTCGATATTCCAATGTGACGGCCTGTTTATCAGCGGGCGAATTCGGTGTGCAGATGATCCAAACAACAAAAGCACTAGCAAAACTCATGTGGCTAGAATTTTCAAAACACCGGTTGTCCCAGTTGGGTTGATTTTAGGACGAGTAGTTCGCGCAGTACCACAACTTCCATGATGTTTGATTGAGGGTGACCTCGTTGCTCTACTTTACACTTATAAAAACCTTGGTCGGGAGGCCCTGAGAGGCGGCTCAGTTCATCGAAGCCGCCAGAACAGTTCCTTGCTCGTTGTTCAGGGTGTTGGACTCACCGGTCACATCGCTCAAGCATGTTCGCCTGTCTTCAAGTGGTGAATCAGATGCACCCAATTTGCGCTGGTGAAGTATTGACAACGCATGTCATACACCCGGGGTTCGAATCTCGGCACAGCTAAGGACATGCGCTGCTGATGAGCTCCAATAAGGACAAAACTAATCCCACCGTTCCTGGGTATGAGCTCATCAGAATAATTGCTTCAGGAGAGGGCTGTTCAGACTGGTGAGTTGAGTGAAAATTCTACAAATCCCGAGACCAACTACGACTAGATGATATTTTCCACCACATTGGTCAAAATCCGACCACTGACCGACAGACCCAACAGGTGTGCCAGACCAGGTTGCAGGTTTCAACCACGTTGTGTTCTTTGCACAGACATGATGAGTCATCGGTGTTGGCGCTGCTTTGTTTTCATGATAACTGGTAACAGGGGGTAATGTTGTGTTTGATCTTGAGATACAAACAAATTTACTGAAGGGTATGATAAGAAAACAAGGAGAGGTTGTTCAGTCAGCACATTCCTCAACGGGACATTTAAACATGGTTGACTGAACGAACAACTCGGTTGAGGCCAGGCGTCGGTCAAGGGATAAAGGTGGGTGTATCAGCGTACCACAAAGCTGTAAATATCGTCTGTGACTCTCGAAGGAAAACAGCTGTATCTGGTACGCGGTAAGCCCACTCTGAATTTATCTAGGAATTCCGGCCGATGCATCATCCTAGTGCAAGGATCCTACAAGAACCCTAAGAAACGCCAGGACTGGTACACCTCAAGTTATCTCAGCTCAGAGTGCAGCAATCAGCGAACCGTGGATGTGACTGAGAGAGAGAAGCGCGCTCTCCAGTTAGCTTGAGCGCTTGATTGGTTCTTACTGGCTCTTATTATATTACTGATCATAGTATTCTGCGGGAAACGCTGAGGAATACTTTCCGTGCAGCCTGGAAGCAATGCTGTGCTGTGAAAATTCCATACAGTGATAAAGATTGCACCCGAGGAACCATTGTCGTTACAGGTAAAAAGACTTTGTGCGCCTTTTAGAAGAATCCAAGGGTTCTCTCGCTTACGGTGTTCATCAACCGAATATGCTTCCCAGATGAAGCCCCATACTTCAGTTGGGGGGACCAACTGGTAATTCAGTTGAGGCGCCAACTGACTGCAAATCCCCGACAGGCAGCTTGGTCAACCTGTGATGCGATCTGTGACTGCCCAAGGGGACGTCCAGCTTGCAGTCTAAGAAGAGGAAAACTCAAGTTCAGTACTCTCGCTTTTTGGCGTGAACTCGATAGAATACATGCACCTCCCCCAACAGGGGGAGAGGGCCTTTCTAGCGAGTGTTGAAGTGACGTCCCTGCTGGTACATTCCTTGTAAGGCTAGTGAAGACCTTTGGACTGTTCTCCCTGACTGGCGGAAATTCGGATGAACATCTGAACTGCAAAAATGGCGGTAGTATGTGGTATCGTAGCCAGGAGGGGAGACGTCTGCTTGGCCTACTCTTCGAAGAGTTTCCAGCAACCTTGTGAGTAGTTTCCTTTCTGAAAATGAGGAGCTGTTTTTTTTGTCTCATTTGACAAATGAATTGGCGGAGGCCAAAAGCCAAATACACGTGTGGTAGTTCACATGAGTTTCTTCGAAAAAACGAATGATTCAAATCGTTCCTCTGTGAAAGTTTATTCTAAGCGATTGTCTCCGTTAGTACATACTTTTGTGGAATTGCATCCAGCGAGGAAAACATGGAACGCTGACGGTAACCTTAGATCACTTTTGGGTCACGGAATTGGGCAGTCAGTTTCAGATGACTGGAAGAGGGAACCAGTGAAACATTTCCAAGTCCTGCTTCTTTATGTTTGTGTTACAGATGGTGCCAGATGAGGTTCATTCAGACGAGCAGAATGGCAAAGTGAAGCCACGAGTAAGAGTTTCCTGGAAAAATGCAACGGTGGTCATTTTGGAAGCGATCTTTTCAAGATGGCAGGGAGTCACTTTGAAAACGGAGTTTTTGACTACTTTTTGTCTACGAAAGATAAGCCTGTGGCTTCGCTCCACCGGAGAGTCGACACGATACACGAATCATGTGATTATCGTAATCTGCCTCGAAAACCAACCCAACGCATACAGAATGAACTTTGGTCCAGAACCGCGAAGAAGAAATTCGCGGGCATGAGTGAAATTGCAGGATCTGAACACTGCTTGTTGGCTAAGTGATTTGGCAAAACGCTCTGAGTGACCTCTTGTCATGGAAATCATACTTAGGGACACGTAAGTCCACTTTGCGCATCAACACACTCCACTTTTCTTGAAACCCAACTTCGCCTTCTGGTGCGATCAGCCGTGATTTTCCCGCTGGCTGCTGTAATGCGCATTCCGATGGTGAAAAACTGATGTTGGGAGATTCTTTCATATCTGGTTACAGAATCTACCCTGAGCCAGTGAAGAGCACTCAGGACGCATGCTAACAGACCGTAATCAATAGAGAGCCTGATGGAGTGTGGAATCTTAGGGGAACACACAAAACTTTCGAAGGTTCGGTCAAGCAACAGCAACGATGGTGGGGTTGGTTATCACAGTCTGCACACGAGGTATTCTCCACCCCCCAACACTCCATTATTGAGGCGGACCAGCGAACTATACCTAAAGATCACCTATGGAAGAAATTGCCTATCCGCAAAATGTAGTTTATTTTGTAATGGTAAAACAGAGCAAATAACCCATCGTTTTGTCACTGAGTTTACTACTAGTCTCGTAGATACGTTTCCGTGTTTTCTTAGTTTCATTGTGGCGACAAGGAAACCGAGGTAATTTTCCGGCATTGCGAAAACTCATTTGAGGGTCCAGTCTTCCATTTGGTGACCTTACGTGGGATAATTCCATGAATCACGGATATATATATGCCTCACAATAAAGCTATACTATTTCAGATAACTGAAACAAAAAGGCCGGTTAGATCATGTCTACCAGGTTCGGAGTTTAAATCGGGATTGTATCCTGTACGTGAAGTTAACCTACGCCAAAAAGACGAGAAGCCTTGTACAGCTGTTTCTTCCTTGTCGAGAATCATTGCAGTACGTGTCTCACACGTGAATTCGAACCCGTGACCTCCTCCTGGCAGTTCAGGTCGATACCGTTCGGCCGTCAGCAACTGAACGGCAGTGTGATTAGCTTTTACTTCGGCAGAATATAGTATCGATGGTCCTCCATACATACAAGTCACATCACGCGGTCACCTACCTGCTCACGGGACACTTATCAGAATGCAGTTTCACGCCACTAGTGAATTATTCTTCCTTCTGTCGTAAATGCATCATGCATGCATAGACCCGTATGTTAATGACACCAAGCTTCATCGACAGCGCATCGACCCCACAGTGACTGGTCGTGTCAGAACGCGCTTTGCCGGACACGATGGTCCGCCCATTTGCGCACATGAGTGTGTGTGTGTGCGTCAAATGTGTGAGAGTAAAGAATGACGAGAAAATGCCGGAGCTATTGTGCAACCAAGCGCACCACTGCCGCTAACAGCTGCGGTTCGGCACGCACCGTGTACACATACACGCTTGTGCTGGTAGTTTTGATCGACAATCACAATGTCACGTGATTGCTTCTCAGGTATAGTTTATGTGCAACCGAAGGAGAGCCGGTTGGATGCATAATGAACCACTGCTGTGCTATCGATCCGAACAAAAAGCATGAGTGTTCCCGGCTGCTGTGCGAAGGTGTACTCATTATGAACCATACTCAAGTTATCATTTCAGCAATATAAACAGGAAAAACCATAAGCGAACTCCAGAGGACAGTACAAAGAAGCTTCTGTTGAACTGTCTAAGACAGGAAAAGCCATAAGCGAACTTTAGAGGACGGTGTCTTGAAAACGGCAACGAGTCTCCGTCACAACTAAATTCACATGCAAATGAGTGTATTCCGCTAGCAGTAGAACTGCGTTCAGAAGTCCACTATCGGGTGAACTTTTTCGAAGTCCATCATACAGGTGGAGTCCCCAAAGTTCCAAGAACTGGGCAAGTAAGGGGATAAAAACTCATTTGTACTATGAGACTGTGTTAACGTGTGACTCATCTGAGCCTTTCATTTAGTATTATGAACTATCTGCGTAGATCCTTTCGACCGAAAAAAAAACTGGGATTCCCTGAACTTTCAGTGTTTCCCCATCGGACGACGGTAAAAACGAATTTTCATGCAGCCTGGAATACCAACGGAGAATAAAATCCATTATCTCTAACCTTTCTGTTGATTACGAAAGGTTAAAAAGGCAAAAAAAGTGGTCGAAATAGCTCCAACCCATAGGCATGCTGCTTTCTCCAGCTTGCACCCAGCCTTTACTTGTATAGCTATGGTTATTAGTAAAAGGTTGTTTAGCACTTAGTAGAAATATGAGTGTACTTCCAAGAAAGAATCGAAATTGTTCGGCCTTGCATCGTGCAGGTTAGATGTACTTGCAAGAAGAGAACGGCCGGGTCATCTAGGTTGGAAAGCATTTCTAAGTATACCCTCCGTACAGCGGGTATGGCTGCTTAGAGGGGGGACGGAAATTTATTCGAAAACTGGTCTTGGGACAAGCACTAGACGGATTTTCTTCGTAAAATACAGTCATGGTCTCTAGGGAAGAGTGGCGTCGGTATGAACGGGTTTCTCTTGGTTTGCGGCCCACAACCGAAGGGACACTCGAGTGGCAATACCTACATGACATGTTTGGAATCTGATCAATTCAGTGGCATTGCTACCAGAAGAACATACAAACACTACCCACAAACTCAGCTCAAGTTCATAGCGCGCCAGCTTGTGATGGCAACCAACCAGTCGGGTACCGATCAAGCCGATAGTTTGGCGGCCTCTTAGCCCGAACCGTGACATATCTGTTTTTGTGGGTGCCCATTATCCGCACAATGCTCTCAGTTGCAAAACCCTTACAAATGGAGTAAAACTTTGTACGCCAAAATGTTGCATTTTGTTGTATATGTGCTCAAACCAAAAACCGTTCTAATCTACGTTCATATTTTTGCATCTCACCAAATTTCATTGTTCACCGAAGCAACCGTGCCTCTGGCTAAAAAGTCATTTCGGATAATTTCCAAGCACCATTGGGACCCCGGGATGCCTAAATGGGGCTTCAAAGTTTGGACTGAGTACCCTCGTTCAACTGCCCGATTCCATCCCATTGTGCGAATACTGAGCGCCGTTCTTATGTCGCTGCGTTCTTAGGGCGTGACATCGGGCTCACACCAATCGTGTTCGCACTTGACCTTACCCGTTAAGTACTGTTAATTCATGTGTTTTGCTTCGGTCCCGCTGCAACCGAGTGCGTCAGTTTCCAAGTCGGTGGGTGCGGTTCCGTCGGATAATGCAGCAGTGCATTAGCGGTCACAGCCGATAGAGGCCTGTTATTTTCACGGGCTTGAAGTACAAATGTGTACAAAAATGTTGACGACAGTTCAGTTCAGTTCATCTAACTCGACAGATTGAACACCATTCGGCTCGCGATACCGATTGGTCACGTCATAGTGGTCCAGAGTGAATTATGAATAGGAAAAAACAAATTCCTTCTACCACGTACTGCTAACTTTCAATGTCTTCGTGTAACGTAAGGACCACGAGAATCCTAGTTAAACTACAACAGCTGATAACACCCAGGGAAACTACAGGCTTTTTTTCGCAACTAGAAATGTCTGACATAATGAGCGTTAATTTATTTTACCACGAACATGCATTCATATGCATTGCGATAGTCTGGATCCCGTTTCATAATATACAGCAGTCGCCGTCTGCCGTAACGCGCAAGTTGATTTAGTGCGCAAACCAAACGCTTCCCTGCACCCGACATGATAAACGTACTTGTTTCAAATTGGTTGATCTGGTCAGCAGAGATACGGTCGTTTTGTGATAGCCAATCGATGTCTTCAGTAGTACAATCGGAGCATGAAAAAACATTAAAGCAAACTAGCGAACTACACTCATTTGCAAACTGATTAGGATTTTTTGCATTTTCAGCAACCGTACGAGTAGTGCATTACGAAGATTGAAATAAACTATTGGGGAGAAATGAGAAATGACATCAGAAAATAACGAGGACCGGAACTAAATGAATGGGAGCGAGTGGATGAGGTTGCTGATGCTAAAAGACCAAAAAGGACTCTTAAGTGGTGTTCAGTTGAAAAAAATGATAACTACAAGCAGTTCCGAAAGATAACCGAAATTTACGATCGATTGTGACCTCCTACATGGCGTGCGTGCAAAATTGGTACATGAGATATTCTACTAAGACAAAAATGAAACTCAAAGTGCTTGTTATAACTCTGGTTGGCTTCGTGACAGCTTAAGGGATGCGTTTTAACAGAAACATATCCGAAGAGGAACCTCAATCGAAAAAGTTTTCTATCAACCTCAAAGGGAAACTGCGCCGTAAGAGGAGCCAGGAAGTCCAGTCATTCGTCACATGTTCACTCCAGTGGAATCAGTGTACATGTTTTGTGGCTCTATACAAAACAGATCTACAATTTCATATAAGAATTGAGGATAAGTAATAGATCTTGAAATGACCGGATGACAACTATATGACTGACCTGTTTCTGCTTCAGAAGCAGCGCTACGTTCTTCCCATAAAATGTAGGCCCCAAGAATGGCGAAATCGGTCGTGGGCTTTCAGCGAGTTTTCAGCAACCGTATGAGTAGTGCTTTGTCTAGTTCATAGCTTCTATCTTTATTGCTCTCCTGAAGCTTGTGCTAGTGATTTTGACTACGTAGAACGTGTGATTAGCGCTATAATTTGGGCTGACTTTATGCAATTAAACCAAAAATCGATTACGGGAGACAGACAGCCTGAGTATGGTGGCGGTGTGCTTTGTCTAGTTTATAGCTTCTATCTTTATTGCTCTCCTGAAGCTTGTGCTAGTGATTTTGACTACGTAGAACGTGTGATTAGCGCTATAATTTGGGCTGACTTTATGCAATTAAACCAAAAATCGATTACGGGAGACAGACAGCCTGAGTATGGTGGCGGTGAACTCCACTCACACATTGTGAAAGAATCCGTCGATCGATGGCGCGTTACTCAAAAGAAGGCCCATATTTATGAACCGATTTGGATAGGTCACAAATAGAGTTAGCCTAACAAAGGGACCATCAAAGGACCGTGATACATCGCCACCCCTAAGAGAAAACTCTTCGAAGAGGGACCATTCTCTTAGGGAGTTTGCAAAAATATTCCTTGTTGTTCAACTCCCCGGTTGCCTGTTTTCGTCTGTATGTATGGGACATGCGTCTGTTCTATCGCATTCAGCCTATCCTACAGCGTCATCTCAGTCAACATACAGCATTTTATGGGCAACTGGAAAATGTCTGCCCAACTGGGTTGTTTCGTCGAGGAGGGAACCGAACAGCATCTAATGTGGTCTCACCTGTATATCCAGTACTACCGTGTATCTGCTAACCTCAGGGACTTTCCATCGCTCTTGAAAGAATGTCCCAAGTATTCAACGTCTTTACTTATCCGTTACTCATCATAACATGGTGAATTTGTGCAATGTTTCTCAACCCCGTTGGGTTTCTCAACTAAGAACAGCTAAACAGCACCAATGGTGAATAAGCGAAACTCGGGAAGTATCGAGTTGTTGTTTCATTCTATCTTTCAGCTATATTGCCCCAATCGGTATTTCACTTGTGAACTGTTCCAACGAATGGGACCCCAAAGCCAGTTTATCAATCAACTCAATTCCAGTAGAAAAAACCGCCAAATTTGGCAAGTTGAGGCGTGTTCATCAAACGCTCTTTTCGATGGGATAAATCAGGATAAATCACATTTCAGCTGTGATACCCCATCTTGGGAGGTCTGCTTCTCCAAGGAAACAGTGAAACGGTAAAAAAAAATCCGTACCCCTGAAATAGTCCAGTGCAGTTGAATGTTCGTCGAAAGGAAGGATCCAGCACAATACAGCTTCTGTGGTTGCAGACAGCGAAAGCGGCGATGGTCATTGCGGTTTATGTCATGAGCTACCGCTTAACTTTCATATCGAAATCGACCGGTCACTTTTGAGGTAGCAATTGATAAAGGAGTTACTGAACATGGAAAGTTTAGGACGTTTGTTTAAAAACCATTTAGTGGGTCGAGTTTGCCATAAGGACAGTGTACTTCCTTTCCCCCGGTCAAACTCTTCCCTTGTCTGCTGCTGTTTACTGCGTCTACCTCATTGACCGAACCAACATTTGTAAGCCCTCATGAACTTTTAACCCTTGACTTGTCGAACCAAGTTGGTCAACCATCTTTTACGCGTGCTTTTTGACCATTTTGCGTCCAGGCGTGTGTCGCAAACGAAGATCGATTAGCCATCTTCTTCGGACTTTCTTTGAACTCGCAGTACTTTGTGCAACAGTTTAGACGGAACCCCCACAATTTGAGGTTTGTACCCCTTTTATTACGTATTTTATACAAGTAGTACCGCATCTTCCGATAAATCTCAAGAATCCACAATTCCTGGCTTGTGATTTTGCGCGTCACTCAACTGGGTTTTCCCGAATTCGTCGAAATATTCTAAAGACAGATTGTGAGCTGTCAAAGAGTTTTCAGCAACCCTCTGAGTAGTGTATTCCGTCAACTAACACACTCGCGCTCGAATGGTCCCAAACGATTCAGGTTTTTGGGAGTACGGGTTTCCGTTAAAGGTGCGGGAGAATATACCCAATTAAGAGATCCGTTAAACAAAAGTACTGGCAAGATGAACTGAGAGAGGCATTCTTGCTGAGAAGTTGTCGCTGAAGAATTAGGGTTGGTAGTGTTTGTCAAAATGGATCCCAAAAACTTCTCTCATGGCTAGATAGCATCTTTTTTCAGATTTGGTAGTCTTCTCTACATGGGTCCGTTGCTGCTTAGTACCAGCTTGAGCTTTACAGTGGGATTATGTGAATGAATGTGACTCCGAAGCAGTACTGACTGCTTGAATTACGCAGATACCAATCTCCTAAAGTAGAATTCGGGCTTGAAAAAATATCCAACATAGAAAAGTGATCTCGACGGAAGATGGACCTGTGCTCACTCAGTCAACCTCCAGGCAGCTTCAAATTACATAGGTAAAACGTGTCACTGCGTGAGTGAGTCACCAAACTCCCTAACAGTAGAACCGCATTCAGTGCACTCAAACAACCTCCAGTTCAAAAACGCAGTGGTTAGTAGAGTTTGTGGAAATTCAGTAACATACCACAGAACGTCTTTACAACCCGTCAGTATGCCAGTAAATACACAGAATTTCGGCGAAATAAAGGAGTGGCACATTTTACTAAAACGGATAGCACAGATCAATAAGCCCTTCCCTAAACCCCCGACCAACACTCGAAACAAGAGACCTGCATCTCATTGTGAAAGGTAAAAGGGGAAACCGTTTTTAATGACTAATAATCTTCTTTATGTTCTACTTGAACCGAAATTGGACTGTTTTCGAGAAATACATTCATTTGCAAATCAATTTGGTTTTCACAAGAGACTCAACTGAATCTCTCGTTTATGATATTCTACAACTGAATGTGCTGCACACAGGCCGCTTCATGATTCAGTTGGCACGATATTCGAGATATCGCAGTATACTTTCATAAAGGAAACTACTCACAAGGTTGCTGACAACCCACGACAGGTTGACGGAGACTCGGGGACTGTGTCTACCTGATGAGTCCCAAGAAGGGCGAAACCGGTCGTGGGCTATCGAAGAGTTTTCAACAACCTTGTGAGTAGTTTCCTTTATGACTAAGAACCTTATACTCTAAAAGAATGTTAGTCACAGAATTCCGTAGAAAGGGATCACCCCGGATCAAGCAAACAAATGGAGTGCGCCTTCAACACTATTCATATGGCCGATGAAAACTTTGAACAGCCATCCTTATCATTAGTACTAAAAAGCAGTAGAGTATTGTTTCAGCCGAAACATGAGACAACCTTTTTACAGGACACTATTATCAGAGAACATCAGAAAGGGGGGTTTCAGGTGAATTTCAGCAGACTCCCCCCTCCACACTAACTTAATTTGCAAGCGACTATCCATCTCACCATAAGTATAAACTGGTATTCGATGCATGCCCATAATTCGGTGGCTGGGGTTACCTGCGGAGTCCTGATAAGGGCAAAACTGGCGACGGGCCGTCCAGAGATTTCATCGACGTAAGCAGTACTGAAGCCTGTCCCGGTCCCTTGAACTGGAAGTGAGGCGGCCTTTGTGCAACGCTTTCATTTTAAGAAAAATTATTAATGGAGCAACCTGGTAACGAGAATACACGTTCCGATGTACTGCAATTGTAACTGTCAGATAAACACCTCATAAGTTTAATCGATTAGTTCACCAGTTGCCTTTGCAGCTGCCTATTCCCTACATAATACGCCTTTTTAGCAATCTCGACGTAGCTCGCCCAGTACCAATCGCGACACCAGAATTACCCAATCACTCAGTTAGTACAGTGCTGGAACTTCGAGCACACAGAAACAGAAGTGAGAGTTGTCAAGACCGTCTGCAATGAGTAGTTCGGTGTCCTTTCCAGTACGAAAGAAAGCTTCCCGCTGTGAACATATATGAGTAGCGCTGTCATTAAAGAAAAATTTAATAAAGCACATGGCATTTCGAATACTTATGAAGTGTTAATTGTCACAGGTTGACCACAGCAAGTGACCTTTTAAAGGAGGGATTTCTGTATCTGAAAGAGTTTAGCTTGCTAGTATCGAGTGGTGAAACACAGCTGTGGATATACGGGGATCCAGTGACCATTATGGATGGCGGTAGTGATAAGTATACGTCCGTTGAGGCACTGCACCAAGTAACAATATGTTAACTAACTAACTGAGCTCAAAATAGCTCAGTGGTAAGAGTGCGAATTTACTGACCGGAAGGTCCGTGGTTCGAAATCAACCTCAGCATTTCGACTGCTCCTGTCTAGGTTTGGGCAACCTGACAGTATCTCAGCCCTCGTGCTTCCGTCGGGTGGCATGGCAGCTAGGCAACGAAAGGGTGTTACAGCTGAACGATTATTACTTTGATCATTATATTAACTAGTGTATAGACCTTTTTTTAGGTTCTCGAGACATGCAGCATAGCTCCGTACCCGTGAATCTCCAAAAATGTGATAGGCGAACCGACCATGTTACCATTATTCCATCGCGGAACGGAGTGTGACATCAGAACAGGTGAATCTGTTTGTACTTGAGAGCTGCTTGTCCAAAGCCTCGACAGACCTAACACTGAGCTTTATCGATTGCATCAACGAATTGGACCACTGGCCACAGGAACGTTCACGACAGTCGCATTTTCGAAGATCGGAAATTCGAATCAGGGTACCAATGGAACAAGTCCAACCCAAGACGTTTTTACACGTACTAGTACACTGATTTATTCAAGTGAAAATTTACATCGGGCGTTTTTTGTCCCATCCCGGAACTACACGAATGACTGAGTGTATACTGTAAGTTTTTATTAGTTCATTGCTAAAACATACGTTTACCAGAGTTTTCGACGCTCAGTTGTCGTTCATTATGTCCACTCTCTGAAAACATCTCCCAGGCATTCGATGGTGAATGAAAGTGCTGTGCTTAACAAAAGGCTGAGTATCGTTCAGTCGACCTAATGGCTGGTTGTTGGCGTCAATGTCCTTTAGTACGTTGAATTAACCAGGAAAATAGTTCCATGACCTTGTGGTAATTGCTCAACAGCCGATTTGGTCCACTGCTTTTACAGTGGTCTACGAAGCTCCGGTTATCGTCTCTCCTTCCTTTTCTACAACCCCCCTGGACCTGATGGAAACAAATATGTAGCTAAAATACAAATCGAGATGGTCCTTTCATTGTTGGAAAGACTGTAGTTGTGTTCAAGGGAAAACAAAGGAAATGATGGTCCAGCAGTAGTACAAAAGTGCTACAATGTAACCGGACAGCGTGACTGGCAAATCCATCTGATAGGTCTGAGAGTACACCAATAAGCACTAGTGTCGATGAATTCGCCAGAAAAATGAAGCCCCCACATTCAAATGTGTTCACACAGAAGAATAACAAAGAACAGGTCATTGAGTAGAAACATACAAACTTATCTATTCAGTCCAAAGAATCTATTGTAGCACAGGTAGCGAAACAACACAAAGAAAGAGGAAATCGTGAACTACCGAACCCTATGGGAATCAGATCACAGTAAGCATCTACTGGCTTAAGCGATGGTGTGCCGAAGCAATCCTTAGATGGTCTTAAATCAGGAAATTCGATTTTTGGCGCACACCGGGCTCTCTCCCTATAACTTAACTCACGAATATTGTATCAGGAAACAAACCCGACAGGGTCTAAGGCAAAATTTAGCCACCATTATTATCGAGACCGACATCTATACACCTAAGTCCTCTGAGTAGCGATGTGAACTTAACAATGAGGGTAACTAGCCAAGTATTTGGTTAGGTAGCCATGATTAACAACATACAGAGCAGATCGTCGCGGACGACGAAATAAGTCGGCAAGCACTCAGATCAATGTTCCCATTTTGCGCGCCACCACAAACAGGAAGGAAACTTATGAGTGCTTAGAGCAGGGTCGGTATTCGCCACTACGCTCTTGGTTCCTTGGCTAGATATTATCTACCCTTACACGCTGACAGTCCAATGACAACTATTGTGTTTAATCTAGGAGATGACTGTGGTAGAAGCGCTTCTCAGAGGTATTCAGCATGAATGCCCTATCAGTGCCTACCATCATTTGCCGTTTATGAATCAGAAATATCGGTTTGCCTGCATCCATGGCGCGCACTGTTTCATTCACTCATTGCTGCGATATCATATTAATACCCACGAAAACAGTTGCAGTGCGAATCCACGCTGCTCCCCACATAAATGTACCTACCATGTTCCATACAAAATCAGATTTTAGCTATTGAAATGGCATATGCATGGCATTTTGGTATACTTCGATCGTCAATAAGAAATGGTCCCCTATATGGCATAGTTCTGACAACCGCTTGGTCCAACAACCCCACTTATTTTACTCCAAAGGCCGCTGAGGCATCAGCACGTCATGCGGACACTTGGCATACTATCGTGGCGACCAGCCAACATGGGTTATCGATCGACTGGATGGCGGATCACACACCCTAGAATGAGCATTGCTTACTTCTGAGAACCTATCAACTAAGCGATGCCCTGTCATTGGAATAATACTGTACCCCGGTTTGTAAACATCCTGTTACCACGGCAAAAAAAATCCAATGAAATGTTACTCACCATATGAAACTCAGACGTTACACTTTCCGGTGCTAATAATAACCTTCCGTTAAAATGGGTTAAAATGGGACGAACAGCAGCCAGATGTGAAGTATTCCGTTAGGGCCGTTACAAGAAAAAAAATCTGGTCTTGGGGCGACCAATGGCTGCCCTGAGGAGTGGATTGGTTGCACAAGCGCCATGCGGAACTACACACACACACACACTCACACATGTGCCGCTTACGCGTCTGAAGCGTTATGTTGCCTTGTTCAGTGAACGGGCGCTTCACTGACGCACGGGTGATCACCAATGCGCAAGCTGAGACACGTCACTGCCTTCTCGCGCATGCGCATTCACGTGTACGTGTGTGGCCACATACCGTGTGTTTGGTATCTATGGGCCTGTCAGTCCTACTACGAACAGAACGTGCCACAATCTCGTGCATGTCTGGCCTACAAAATGAGAACAGGTGCGAGCGCCGTGGATTTGCTGGATTGTCCGACGCGCATGCCTAAACACGAGAGCACAGCGATTTGTGCGCCAAATCTGGGGCCCTGAACGGAACGTTGGGATTTGTTTTTGTGGTGCTAGTCTAGGACAGGGACAATGCACGTTTTACATCACGCTTCCTATCTGCGTATAGGCAAAAGTTGAAGGTCACGTGACTTCCCGTCAGGTGCAAACCTAGGACTGTCTAAAGCTGAGGCACAGCACCTAGTTTCCTGTTGTACTGGGACATAACAATGATTGGAAAAGCTCACAGCACGATATCACGTGATCTAGGTTCGTAAACCGCTTGGAGCAAAATTGGGGATACTCTGTTCAAGCCCCGTAGCTTGAAGGTGCAGACTAGCTGGCGTCACGGGTAGAAAAAGGCTACCAGTGGAACATGAAACAAAGCTCAGAGAACAACGAGGCGTATGTTCATACACACGTGGAAAAATGTAACCACGTGCCTTCCATGGATGAATAACATTGTTAGCTAAATAGCGTATGGATTTTTGAGCATTCTACACAGCAAGGAGTACTGCAAGCCGACACCCTGTTGGGAACCTCAGCGCCTATCACATGGCTGTTGGGGTGGGCATGATAGTGATCGGTGTGATCTATTTACCGCTGTTGTGTGCACTAAGGTTTCACTGGATGTGATTTTGGACTCAGTGCGTTCAACTAAATTCGGCGGTCTGGCGATTCGCCAGTGTTCCAGTGCTCTGGGTTTCGCACGCTATTTTCTCTACACTCTCCAGGACGTGACTGTGAACTTCACTGCTTTTAGTAGTGCATCAGAATTTCTGACGAATGCGTTCTTCCTCCGGGCTTGTGATGGACAATAGCAGCACATCAGAGCTCTCAGTTCAAGCACGCTCTCTTCTCAAGCTGCTACCTGACGGACGCATTTGTTGGGTGTCTCCATAACATCTCATACTGTACGTTCCCAAACAAACCACGTGGATTGTAGGGTGTTCACTCTCTCATCCCGAAGGTTGAGGGCTGGAGCCTCCCCGAAATTCCACTGTTGATGACTCCCAACGAGGAGTGGTAAGATGTTGCTTGCTTTTAAAGTAGACTGGCTTCACCAGCTGGATCAAATCCAGGTTAGAATCCTGATTCATTTGGATGGGTGCACTTTTTACGTGAAGCTAATGGTCCTCGCAAAAAAAACGCGTTTTTTTCGGGCTCAGTATCCAGGGCATGAAACTGAGCATACGGTCGAGAAATTTGAGCAGTTAGAATCCGATTCATTTGGATGGGTGCACTTTTTACGTGAAGCTAATGGTCCTCGCAAAAAAAACGCGTTTTTTTCGGGCTCAGTATCCAGGGCATGAAACTGAGCATACGGTCGAGAAATTTGAGCAGAGTGTACGGCGTACCTGTAGGTCATCATTACTCATTTTCGCTGTAATGTCGTGTTTTCGAGCTTGTTTACACTGCAGCAGTTCGCTGACTTGACAGCTGATCGATGGTGTGTTTTAACATGCCGAACCAAGGTAGCTAATAGTCGCAAGTAAGCGGCATAACGACTACATGGTAGTGTGATTGTTGAGATGGTGTAACCTGGAGCATATAACATACCGGTTATTGATTAATTGGTTGAGCCGGTTGGATCGCCTGATGAGTGGTAGGGCAGTAGGCCGAATGTACTTCATGCTGATTGGTTAGAGCTAATAATGGTCGGTTGGTTCGAGTTGCCTGCATGAATTTTGCTCATTAGATAGCCCCGGAAGGCCTTGCACATGACCTTCACACAATCTAAGTGTTATACACTACAACAATGACTGGTGTGAATACTGTTCGTCTCTCTGAGACAGTGCTCTTGAGAGGAGTTCTCTTATCCCCAAAGTAGACCGGGGCCGGATGAGTTGTGTTGTCCTTTGTACCCAAAGCTAAAAGTGGGACTGGGTCTGACTTTATGTATAACTTTTTCTAAATCTTGTGTTGTCCTCAATGCATTGCTCCAGTTGAAATCGTCTGATATTTACTTTTGAAATGTTGAATTTCCAAAATTTTCGGTATTGTGAACTCGCCATTCTGCATATACTCTGTTGTACAAATAATCTGTTGATAGCTACATTTGACTGTCTGCTTACGATCGGCATCAGTGTGTGCAAACCTACCCCATACCTGATCTTAGAAACTTGAGGCGGAGTCAGCACGCCAGAATGTTTTTATCCTGGCCACCGGGACGCTGCCGATACAGCTACATTAACGTTATTTATTTTTACTCTGTTCGAAAATTCATCACCGATAACCATGAGGGGTTCTGCTATTCAAGTTGACGGGCGTTACAGTGTACCGCAAGATTCACTTCTCCATTCTAAATGTTGCACAAACTACTGAATATTGCACACTTTCGTTCATCACCAATCTACTTATGGTCGTTATCGTCCTCTGTTTTGATGGGAAAACAAAATGCCAGTTGAGCAGTCAGCGGCCCTCTACAGCATGTAATTCAGTGTGTTCAACACCAAGTTTTGTAGTCCCGATCGTTATTGTAGAATGATGGGTGGCGAACCCTCGTGGAACGTCATCACTGCAAAGACATAATGACGGTTGGCTTTGGTATGAGTGTGGCCTTAACATCCGAAATAAGTATCGTTATTGACCAGACGTTGTTTGCAAGGTCGTTGAAAACTATTTAGCAGCTCACTACCGGTTTCATCTTTCCTGGAGCCCATCCGGTAAGTGAAGTCCCCGAGGTCCTAACTGAACACTAAATTATGAACAGAGGTAGAGTTAAACATTTGGCTTCACCATCACTTGGAGTTAACAGAGCATTTAACTTAATACTGGCTGGATTTCTGGCAAATACTGATACCTTATGAGCCATAAGAGTGAGGAAACTGGAAGCGAGATGTCAAAAGGGTCTAAGCAACCTTGCAAGTAGTGCTTCGTTAGGAAAAATTACTTAGATATCTTAAACTTTTTGTAGCATATTCACTTGAAGAATAGTCTACACGAGCGTTTCGGCGGACTTTCCATTGAGTCTCCCGCTACCAGCAATTCCCTTTGCAAATGAATGTGTAAACACTCCCTCTATTCCCGAATTCTATCATTGCCTATCCGTACTTGTTTTCGAAGCGAGCCGTGGACTTGCAGTATGCTATTTTTAGCTTTCATTCTGATGGAGATATGTATTGCTTGAAGACAACGAAAGTGATACATCCCATCAAGTGAAAACCGGGCATCCACGTTGTTTCTGTTTCCGCACGTGCACCGAGAAGAAGCAGCCAAACAAACCGAACTCCGGGGCACCTGTTGTTCGAATGTCCCTCCCGATTTAGTGACCTGTGTACCACCTACAGGTGTTTAGGACTTGACATCTCACCAGCCCTTACACTCAGAGCTCTACTTTTGTCCTCATCTTGGACTCCGTGATTATGGTGTACCCAAATGACCCTTGCTCGAAACCGGTTTTGAGTTTTCCGTTACTTATAAACCGTTCCTCTGTAGCACCCTTTCGGTGCCTAACTGCCATGCCACCCGAAAGAAGCACGAGGGCTGGGATACTGCCAGGTTGCCCAAGTCTAGACAGGGGAAGTCGAGAGGCAGAGGTCGGGTTCGAACCACGGACCTTCCGGTCAGTAAATTCGCGCTCCAACCACTTGGACCATCTCACCCCTTCCGTTACTCATAGTTTAGCTTGGAAATTCTAATGAATATTTTATACTTCTTACGTCTTTTACAATACACTGATTAACTGACTGATTGGTTTACCAGTCCACACTCTACAAGCCAGACTGCTCTGTAGCGTTTGCACAACGACTTATTCCATCAGACATACGTTGAAGTATACGATAAAGGACCCTCCATTCAACCGTTTTATGTGGAACAGACAACAGAAATATTTTCCCAAGTCATGTTGGGGAGGTGGTGAAAAACACAGCATACAACGAAGAGACAGACAGGATATTTTTCTGCCCTGACTGTTAAGTTGACAGCAGACAACATCGTGTGCATTTTTCCGTTCGTTTCACTTCACTCTCTCTCTCTCTCTCGTATTTTCCATCTTGTGGAGATAAGTGTCTGGAACAAAAGTAGGGTCCGTCTGTTCCAAGTGTTCACTCGTGGGCAAACCAAGAACGTTCGCGTCACGTGGTTTTTAGGCTTTGTTTTCCATTGTGATCATTGTTCTAGAAAATAGTCAGTTAGACACAGACCACGGTACTGCCACTACGAGTTCGATCGCGTAATGGCAGTCTGGTGAGGTGCCCGTCGCACCTGAAGAGGTATGTGTAACAGGTCGGCAACTGATAGAACGTTATCACGCTCAGCGAACCACGTGACAGGCTCTGGCCGCTGAAGCTAATCGGTGGGACGTGGGTGGGGTGAGCGATGGGTGTGGAACACAAATAGTTTGAATTATGGGTTTTTTGAGACCACTGTTCCGATTGTCTGGACCTGAGACAGACGCGTGAGCTTTTGGTGGTTTGCTTACATGCATGGGTTTTTTGTTTTTATAATACCACCTGTCTGACATAGACTGATGTGTCATCTTCCGAAACGTTTCTAAGACAGTCTAGAGGCAGTGCACCCGTCTGTTTTGTCGATAAATGATTGAACTACTGCAGAATGCAGTTCGTAAAGAATTCAGTTATTTCAGTTGGCTCCCGTCTCATCATCATCATCGTCGATAGCATGACATCAGTGTTCAACACCGATGCTTCAATTCCCGTCTATTGGTATTCATATGTTCAGCCGCGCATGTTCAACACCTTCAATTCCCGTCTATTGGTATTCATATGTTCAGCCGCGCATTCCGTCATTTGCGGGTTTCTCATGAAAATTTCAAACGCAACACTCGTTCTTTTCGTGCTATCCGGAGTCCGTCTCTTGATTACACAATCCACATGAGTCAGCACACCCTTTGCAGGTGTGCTGGTCTCGTGTGGACTAGAGTACTGAGACTTTAGTGCCTTGACCCAGTAAATGGACAAAATTGCTGGGTGTGCTAATGCTCTGAGGCGGCGCTTAAAATCACGACAGAACGATACCTCCATCGCTTGTTGGAATTACTACCAGCAAACTATAGGTAGTTCAGAAAGAATGACCAGCTCTCACAACTTATGTGAGCCTTCCCTTTGGGAAGTTGTCGCTCGAGCAGCTAGTCGATACGTGTCCACGTGATTCGAACTCCGTGGGTGAAGGACCAGTGTCTGCGCGCGAGATAATCGAACTGCTAATCAGCCGTTCGTGATTGTAAGGCATCGTCTTCAACTACTAGTCAAAGGGTCCTGGGTTCGAATCCCCAAAAAGTTAGTAAGATGGACGTTACCTATGATTTCCAACAACAATGAAGCAGCCGCGCAGTGTTTCTCGTTTTTTTAGCGTAGAGTGACCTTACTTGCAGGACGAACTTTGGATTGAGATTCTAATATCTCCCCATTACAAATACCTTGGACTAACAGATTTCCCATGCAGCTCTTTGAAAATACCGTTGTGTACGTGGTACCGTTCGGACACACCCATATAGCCCAGTGCTTTGTTACGCCGATGCAGACTGTATGTGACTAAAAATGGGAAAAAAATTCCGGAATGGTCGAAGAGTAAATGGTGTCTGTAATCAAACAACTAGATTCCTACTTTAGACTGGCTCACTCAGGTCTAGACTAATGGGACCGTGGTCTCGGACAATCCCCAATCCAGACGCTAGATTGCAAGTGCTTACACTCCCCCCCCCCCCGATCACGACCACCACGTCTCACGCAACCTCAGTAACAAGATCTTATCCCTTGTTTTGTTTAAGGTAATGCATTTGCTCTAGTTATCCGCCTGGTATACGCCCTAAAGTATCCGACTGACAGATCACTAGACTGCCGCTAGCAGATGAGCTACCAAGTAGCAGCGCAAAAGCGCATTAGCGTGGCGTGTCTAACATGATAAGTTTCTGGGATAAACTACCATTGCGAATAGCTATGAATATCACGTATCAACGGATGATGTCGAACCTGTCATGCAGATGAGTGATCACTGCAAAAACTGCTCTAACCTAAAATGTTTCTAGGAGATTTTTATTTTCACAAGATGGGGTAAAGCCGAGTAAAGAAGTGAGACCGACTGAACTTTGCATATGATGTTGTCTGTTAGTAGCTCCTTCCACCAGAGTGATTTACTTAGTCGGGAGGGTGGAGATCCCAGATTCGAAGGTGTGGAATATTGGTAGCGGTCTGATTTCCAAATCAATATGCACCTTTCCTTACAAGTCCCTCTTCTTTTTCTGATCCGCCCCTCACGACTGAACGACCAAGTGTTCAAACTACTAGCCTGGAGCTCGTGAGCTCTAAACTCCCGACAGGAGTTTAGATGATGATTCCCAATCAGGATAAAACAGTTGTACTGTGCTTCTTGGCTTTTCAGAAAAGATTGATTTCACTTATAGGACAAAATCTTCGTTGAAAATAAGGTAATTGTTTCAATCTGGTGCTCATCAGTGAACCTTAAGACTTGGTGCAAAAATGTCCGTGTTCAACGTTGACCTCATTTATGTAATGGTACACTGGTCTCCAGGGTTGTACGTCTTAACCTCCGAAAGGCGCATCCCCGTATACTGACCCGAGACATCCCTCAGCAGAATAGCTACTGACAGAGTGATGAGGCGAGCAGATCTGACAAACAGACAACTAGCCGTGTGACAATAACTGTCAGTGTTCAAACCTAGGCTCCAATCGGGTGAGGATGTATAGCCCGACGGATTGCTTTTCAGCTTGTGTGGAAGTCGATCTTGTGACCGTTTTTCATCAAACCAATACTTTACAATTTGAGCCTCTGTTCCATATGATTCTGCTGTTTGTTGCGTCATCGGACGGACCGCGTGGTGTAGAAGTTGTTACCATTCAGTAGCGCTATATGTCTGTCGAAAGGATTCAAGTTGGACAAGCGACGGTTGTCCAGTTCCACTGTTGGCTAGCGTCTACGCTACATTACGATGCAAGGAGTTAATCGATGCATCGCTCACGTGACCTGGTCTTGTCAGGCATCCAATCAAACTGACCAAGTAAAGGTCTAACTAAACCAGCTGCCTTTGGGGCGCGTTAGAGGTAAGGAACTAGTGCCACCTCCTTTCATAAGCAATTCAGGATGACATAAGTATAATCTGTCTTCCCATATTCCAACATATGGCTCTCAGTCTGCTTTGTAGTCATTCGATGAGTAGGAGGAGTAAAGGATCGATTTGATCATGGAAGCACGCATAAAGTCGGCCACTTTATTCATTAAGTGTGGAGGCGAAGACAAACCAACTTCTTAGCATGAAATTAAAGGCCCAGAAGGCCTACCCTTGATAATCGTAACTAACTAAAGAGAGTTGCGCGCGTTGGTAGGATGAACCTGTGTTGAATAATTGCTACAAAAAGACAAAGTTTGAGGTATGTTTCTTAAACAAACCTCTGTTTGTGACAGTTTACGTGCTTTGTTCAGCCGTATTGGTCTTGGGGTCCATAGGAATTACAAGAATCCTCCGAGTCGAAAAACAATCCTTATGGTGAGTTGGCCTTGAATATGGGATGGTTTATTGCTCGCCTCCCATCATTTTAGTTTACAATATCCCTTCGTATTCAGGCTAACTTCTCCAAGTCAGATTCTCTTTGTTTTTCGTTTGTTATAAAAAATGAAAAGAATCCACATGTGCACTCATTCTTCTTCGTGCAAATCTCTACTCATCATGACATTACGATTCTGACATAATGGGGTGACATTCGAAATTTTGCGCTCCATATGCTGCACAGATTTGATTCTGCTAAACACTTGCCCAGCACTTCGTTTTTGAGGAATCAACCGATCACCAAAATGCTTGTTAGTTAGTGAGTGACCTGATACAAAGTATCATCAAATGAATAGGGACTCACCAAAACTGTCCATTTGTGAAGTCACGAACCACGTGTTCAAAGGGTATTCACAGGTTTTTCCGTTTGACTGAAAGAGGGTGAACAGAATGGTCAGGATATCGATAATTTATTGTGGCGACGGGGATAACTATCACATACTGTGCAGTAGGTAGTAATTGTAGAGTCAAATGTCATCCGTGACTGTTTTCATCGTAAATGAGAATCCCTACAAGGATGATTGAACCAGAGGTCAACGTTCGAGCCATATACTGCTAATCGGGCTTCTCTGAATCGCTGGCTGAAATTGTTTCGGGAGCAAGAACCTCAGTGTACTGATCCTTGGAATGAAGCCATTTCCAAGACAGTCTACGTCGTGCACCCTGTTCCAGATTTTTGTAGGATTTCTGTCGTCGGAGAGCCTAACGCACGGATTCCATTACTTTTTTCGGGAAACGATTTCCCTGGCTCCCAGAAAAAAACCATGGATCCCGCGAAAATACAACGAAACATCGCATGTTTCAGGGATCAGATGGTAATTTTACAGGATAAGAGAGAAACTTCTGAAGTACTCCCATTTTCAAGCAGAACACACGGCTCATTGTAGCGTGGGGCCTTAGTCTACCTGATGAGTCTCAAAAAGGGTGAAACCGGTCGTGCGATGTAGAAGTAGCTTATTAGTAGCTTATAAGTATTTGTGTCAGATTCACACTAGTTCACTAACCAATCGGTCGACTGAATTAAGATTATGTCTTAGAATAGAGAACACCATGCGAAAAGGGACTATGCGGTCCCTCCTGAGGAGTGGACTCCCTTTCAGGGCAACCAGTGTACTGAATCGTGCGAAATTCCCTGGCCACTGGAAGTCAGCTTTTACTCAGACTATTTGGTGATCTTCGATGGATGTGTACATAATACCTACACTTGGTACACATCACTTGTCCTGATCATAATTTTCTGTTGTTTCGTTGCGAAACAAACGCAGTATATCCCTGCTTCAATAGCGGTGGAGTAGATTCATGTCTTCTGAACGAAAGAGACTCATTTTTAATATTTTCCCCACAGAACATTTTTTGTCGGCCAGTGAGACTGAGTGGTGAGAATTAGCCAAAGCAAATCGTGATTTCTCAACCAATCAGAAGATCCTTCAATCCCTCGTGGACTTTCCTAGGCTATTTGAGAGGCGCTTCATGGACCAGAAACTTTGAAGAAACAGTTGTAAATGGGAGATTTCCTTCTGAAGGGAGTTGTTCTCGTGCACTTGATTTAGTGTCTTCAGGGCCTGCTGATGAGTTAATAGTACTTGATGCAAAGGTGGGAAATATCAAAGCAGATCAACGAAAATACTTTAAGTGACATGGACATACAGTGTGGGAAATACTGGATCTGACTCAGGGATCGATACCGTTTTGGACCCAAGAGACACCGATTTCTTAGGACATCAGCTTACGTGCGCGTGTCTAAAAATCGAATTTTATTACCAGATCGAGTCAAATAGGGGGTGTCAGTCAATTCCTGAAAGCCAAAGAGCCCCTCACGTTTGTCAGCACACGTCAGCGGAGTGGTATGGCGCTCAGCTACTGACCACAAGGTCACGAATTTGATCCTACCAAGAGATTTGTGTTTTGCAATTTGTTTTTCAGCAAAGACTAACTTCATTTGGAAACTGGAACTGCAAGAGAAACTTTTGGTTCTCCTCACTCCCTAAAAACCACTGATCCAATAAGATCAAGTCAGATTAAGAAAAGTGGTAGGAACCGAAATGTGTCAAATCATACAGGTTCTGCCGAAGGATGTCAAGAGTTGAAAAACGAAGAGGCATTCGAAACACTGATCTGGTGAGCGGATTTATCCAACTAACAGACGCCACCTAAGAATAAATGTTGGCAGTATCAGAAGTTTTTAGTGATCGTTGATCATGTTGCTGCACCTGCCAGTTAGCTTGTCAACTTGTCTCCTCCCTAATCGAGGAGACAGATCAGAGACCACATGATTCACCACCAAAAAAATTAAACTAACCAGTGATAGTTGCGTAGGTTATTGGATTAATGTACACAGTCATTATTGTTGCCAGTTAACACACCAATCAAATGTAAGGAATACAGACCACAACGTGACAGTGAAGCGGCCAACGGGGTTCAAAAAAAGGTATGTTCCAATTAGCCATTCCCGGCAATGTATATAGCCTGTTCTTTAAAAAATATATGAACTCGAGAAAATAGGGAGAGACGACCCACCCAGCCGCGCGCTGATGATGTCACCTCGTTTGGTGACGAAACAGCTGACGAAACTGCCAAGCTCAAGGGACAGACCAACGGTTAGTCACTTGTTCACCAATGAAAGCACCCGAATTACAAACATTCCGGTACACAAATTTAGCGAAAGGGACCAAGTGTCCGACAGGAATCTCTCGAATTTATGGGGGCAATGCAATGCTTGAAACTCCAAAACTCTCAAATATACCACTATTGCCCACCTGTGGACATACTTCATGGATCTATCCCAGGAATGGTTGTCGGAGAATACAAAAGCTTCCATTCTGGGAGATTCCCGAACTTCTATATTTCTAGAAATAAAATTTCCGTCGTCGAACTTCCGTGTAAGTGCAGTAAGCGTGTGTGGAACATCTTGAATTACTTGAGAACGTCATTCACAATTGTTTCACCGCGAAAACCCCCTGAAGTGTAATTTCATTGACATTGAGCGACGACCGGTTATCTCAAAGCCTGATGTGCATGGAAGAAAGAGCGTCAAGCTGTGGTCTCAACCGGGGAGAAATTGAACCCTGAGGAGCTTCCTGCAGCTGGGGTCGGAGTTCCTATTGTTCAAATCATCAATCCGGAATGCTTCGTCCGAAGGTAGTTACCACAGTTTTGCTTTTTGGCTTTTGCTGAGTAAGACATCATAGCCCAATCTAATTTCAAGTTATCTGCTTCCCGATCTCCCTGTTGCTTTTTCTTCACATAAGAACAATTGTTTTCCTTATTTCAAGTGAAAAACATTTTGAGACTCTATAGAGGAGAATGTTGGTAGCTCAGGTAGCATAGATGGCCGTTGGCTTGTTCGCTGAGCTGGGCAGTTTGATTGCAAACGTTTCATCAACAATCGAGGTGACGTCATCAGTTCGTTATTGTGGAGCGTAGTTGTGCGTAGCGTCGAGTTGGTGGTTGTGCGTGTGTTAATATACGTGCTGCTGGCACACCCAATTTCCCAGCTCAGCGAACAAGCCAACGACCATGTTGAGACTCTACTCCAGTTCGCTTGCCTTACTTCACAGCACCATGTTACACTGTGCTATACTACTATACTGTGCTATACTGCGCTATGCTATACTATACTAATGTAGTACAATGCTATACGATGACGTAATATACACTGCTGCGCTATGCTATACTGCACTATTCTATATTTTACTATGCTGTACCAATTTAAGGGAAACTCTTGGTACCTAACTGTCGTACAAATCCTCGGAAGAAAGGGAAACTGAACAGAATTCCAAACCCATCAGCATAGACGGGAGCAATGGATGGGGTGGGTGTCGAACCACGGATCTTCCGTTTAGAATTCCTCACATAAATACCTTACGATCATATACAGGATGCTCATGTTTAACCTCTTGGACCACATCGAAATGGTACTTTTAACACAGATTAATAGCCAATGACCATTAAGAGCACAGCTCACCACTGCAGATGCGATTTCGCTGGGCCTTTTTCTTCAACAATCGACCAGAAAGTTTGAGTTGGGAATGTGGAAAGATAATGACAAAACTCGAAAGTACGTGGCTGTTTTGTTGGATGACTTATATTCTCCGCATTCTGCTTGTCATTCAGTGAATAGGCCAACTCGTGTTGTAAAAATTGTCACCTATTTTTATCACTCACTGACACAGCGTGTGTACGCATTAATGGATATCTTCATCCCAAGCCAATGTGGGAACGACGACCAAAATGTTGAAGTGTACTTTAGTAACCAGGCAAAGTAGTACAGTTATCTCTGATGTGCCCATCAAATGGGAGGATAACCAAGAACACTGACAATCAAATAAGTATCCCTGGTAGAAGATGCACTGGTTTATGGATAAAATCTACCGTAGTGAGTTGACTTGATGATCAATACCATGGATATAGACGAGATTACACCATATTATTGTTGGTGATCGAACGGCGCTCTAGCCTATCGGTGTTTAAGAGTACTGCAGAGTCATTCTCGTACAAGGAACTACATTGATGAACGACGAAATTGGCAGTTCCAGGAGGGAAGCCGCCTATAGGAGGGATAATTCCAACCTTATTTCGGGCATTTTAGTATTCCTGGTGCTTCTGTACAACAGAACAATTACTCTGAGTTACTGAAAACTGGTTAGAAAAATTCCACTTTGACAGCGCCAACAGAGTATTCTGAACCTTGACAGGGATCCCACAAGGGTGAGATGGCCCAAGTGGTTAGATCGCGAATTTACTGACAGGAAGGTCCATGGTTCGAACCCGACCTCCGCCGCTTGACTCCTCCTGTCTAGGCTTGGGCGACCTGACAGTATCCCAACCCTCGTGCAACCTTCAGGTGGCATGGTAGTTAGGCTACAGCTGAACGTTTTTTCCCACAGCATGATGGAAATTAGAGGTCAAATAGATCTGAACTCTTTCAGTTCGATACTGTCTGTTTTGTCCATGTAGCACCTTTTGAATGAGCTGTATTATGGCTGTATTACACAACCCCTCATTTGCTGTTTCGTTAGACTTCACTTCCATCACGTGATGCGAAACTGTAACCGAACAAACTGGGATTGCCATTATCACATCACAACTAACCTCAAATGTACCGCCATTTTCAGCACTGATGCCCATATGTTCTTTAGTACAGAAGGGCATAGAATCACAATAATGTTCTGTCAGGCTATAGAACGAATAAGTAAAAGTTTAACGTGAAAAAAACTACTCACACGGTTGCTGAAAACTATACGACAGCCCACGACCGGTTTTGCCCTTTCTGGGGCTCATCAGGAATGCGTAGTCCCCGAGTTTAGGTAAGCCTTGTATTCTATTTGAACCCAAGTTACACGTAATTTTGGAATGAGCGATTCAGGTCGAATTCAAGTGAGTCTTCGTTGAAGACCGGACCGGTATGCAAATGAGTGCATTTTTTGAAGAGTTTGTCATCTTTGTCCAAACCTGCTCCGAGAACCATGCGGCTGCCTTGCCATGCATGTGTTCGTCCGTTGTGCCAAGAGTTGGCAAACGTAGCATAGGAACGGTACCCGTATCAAGCAAGAGAATGGTGACGGTGGCTACCTAAGCAGCTTTGGGCTTTGTGATCTTGATCACTGAAGTGGTTAGGGGGACGGTGCTTCATCACAACCTGATGCCTGTGCGATGCCGAAATGGTACTGAGCCTTCTAAAGGGAGCGGCACCGAGGAGGAGTTGTAGTTTCACCAACAGTCATAAGCGTCTCCTCATCGCAAGAAAACAACTCTAAGTTATATCGGGCTTCACTTTAGGTGATTCATACCAGCGAACTAATTAGGTGGTGGCCTGATCGTTCCTGCTGTGAGAAAATGCGTTAGCGAGTTCGCAGAACTTGTCGTCAGTATCACAAATTTTCTTTTGGATTTGTAGATTCCCAGGTGTTATTGTTGCTGGGAGAGGAAAACAAGTAATCAGTTTTCACCCTGAAGAAATTAGTACTCACAGGACAAGATGAATCTTTACGGATTCATTTTGAGTTCTAACCTATCTGTTACGAGGAATACTGTTTAGTGAGCATCAGGTAAAACTAGTTTAATGGAGATTTTGTCCCGTAAGTGAAGCTAATCTGCGCTGAAGAGACTAATCAAAAGAGTGACCAAAAGTGCACATCTCACTGTGCTGCGAGTAATTTCGAAACTGTGACCCTGCGGCGAGTAGTTTGAACTTTTCGGTCACAAGCCGCTCGTTTGAAGCGAACTGCCGTTCTTCGCCGAATGTTTAGGAGACCAACTACTAGCCAGGAGGTCTTGGATTCGAAATGCCCTACTGGAGTTTCGTGAGATGCGCACTGCTGATGATTCCCAATAAGGATAAAACAGGCGTACAGTGGTTCTTGGCTTTTTAGTATAGATTGGTCTCACCTGAAGGACGAAGTCTCCATTGAAATTCCCAGATCTTCTCACACTAACAAGAGATAAAACCGTTTCGTCCGGGCACCGAAGCGATAATGACTCCATTTATTAAGCGCCAAGCTCCGCTAATACTCCTGAATTCCTCATGCAACGGCGTTTTCCAAATGAAATTATCAAGCACCAAAAAAGCTTTCCCGTCCAAAGTGAGGATGCGAGGTCATGGTTCTTTACGTCACTCCAACTATGCTCTTACGGAATCCTGGCAAGCCGAGTTAATACGCGGACAAAAATAAACCGTTCCCAAGAGAATTGTTGTACGGCAACATTGCCCGCAGTAATGTGAAGAAGACCTATACCCAACCGTCCAACTGCCAGTAATCAGAATTAACAGTTTGCATATAATTTAGTCAATTGTACTATAATAATTTTTCACCCACAAGGTTGAGTAAAGTTCACCCACTCCGAAAAATCAAATTTTATGTGACTCGACTGGCGGGCTTGGTTAAGCTTAAAATGATGACCTCAAATAATCAGCTGGTTAGATTCGTTCAGCTGTAGCACCCTTTCGGTGCCTAGCTGCCATGTCACCCGAAGGTTACACGAGGGATGGGATACTGCCAGGTCGCCCAAGCCTAGACAGCGGACGCGGGAGGCACAGGTCGGGTTCGAAACCACAGGCTTCCGGTCAGTAAATTCGCTCTCTAACCACTTGAGCCATCTCGCTGGTTAGATTAGTGTAGAACCACTAGTTTTGTGCCCTTGGTTGCCCTATTTACCCTAATACAGTTGCAGGCGGAGCCACAGGCTTCATATTGCACTGACATAAACAGAAGTGATGCAGACAAGAGTGTATACAACATATAGGTTCCCTCAAGTTAGTAAGTAGTGCGGTTTCCTCAATTTTTCATAGGAGCGTCTACCACTGGCTCTCTAATGAATCCAAAAACAAGCTAGGGAGAAACGATTTGTATTGCAAAACTGACTGGATGGAACTGCGCGCAAAGTGACTCAATCCTGGCAATGGGCCAGCTGGTTTCATTCTACTGCTTAAAGGTTCCTACCGATAATCTGCGCCATTGAGTAAAACAACACATAACACAAATGTTAAACTAATTGGCGTTCCACCGAAAAGCCAACGATCAGTTAAGAAAAGGGGCACTGTCAAGAGGTCAGTTTCAATCATTGACGGGGATGTGTCAATCGTAAGAAGATATCCGAGTAAAGAAAGTAGGTAGTGTGCTGCGGAAGGGTTTTCAGTAACCTTACGAGTAGTGTGTTCTACGCATATACAAGAAAGTAGGTTATTTGGGATAACTGGTGTTGTCCCAAACAACACTATTGTTGTGTGCGACTAGCTTAGAAATCTTCACTATTCAGTCAAATTTGTCATTGGACAGATGTAGAGAATACAGACCACGTCGCAACATAAATCGCAACTGGACCAAGCAGATTTCGAGGAAGCTCCCCTCCAATTAGCTTACCCCATCTAAAGCTGCATTACCTCAAGTAGAAAAGCCAGGAGTATCAACCTGATCGTAAACCGGAAATTTCTCCCCGGATGGTGAGGCAAAGCTCCCAAGTTGTGACTAATTTCGACCAAGAGATCAACAAACACCCGGTTAGTACACGGCTGTCAACCACAGCGCCAATTTCGAATGTTTTATTTCCAACTAATGGATAAGCAAGTGCCAAATAAACATGGCTTTCGGGGAAGTTTTGAAGAAAGGCTCAGGAACTCTGTTGTTTGTCTACACAAAACCGCCCATTGCCCATCTGACATGGGGTAAATTAGGTCACCCTTGAAACTGCAGTGATTATGCCAAGAGCTCTCGTGCATTGTTCTCATGGTATATAAGGTTCTCGTTTGGAAGGGGAAAAGCTATGGCCAGACGATGATTGGTCGACTGTTTCCCGATATGGACATTTTTTACCAAAAAATTTAAGCGATCCAGCCGATTCCCCCTAGACGACAAGGTCATATCTTGTTTAAGTCAACCAGAAACAAATTAGCGTTCGAGAAATACACTAATTTGCAAATCAATTTGGTTCTCACCAGAGAATCAACTGAATCTCTCGTTTATGATATTATACAACTGAATGCCCTGCACACAGGCTGCCTCATGATTCAGTTGGCACGATATTCCAGATATCGTAGTATGTTTTCATAAAGGAAGCTACTCACAAGGTTGTTGAAAACTCCTCGACAGCCCATGGCAGGTTGACGGGAACTCGGGGACTGCGCCTACCTGATGAACCCGAAACAGAAGGGCGAAACCAATCGTGAGCGTTTGAATATTTTTCAGCAACCTTGCGAGTAGTTTCCTTTATGAATATTGGCATTCGGTTGGAGGGATTCAGGACGAGTTAACTTGATAGACAGATGTCCGGAGAAGTACACTAGTCGGCAAGTCGCAGTATATGTAAAAAACGTTGATTTTTGGGTTCTCAGTGCACTTATCCGGATGTGTCTAAGCAATTTCCAAGAATTATTACCACGTTTGTTCAGTATGTATGGTTTGAAGCACGAATCCGTCACTCAGGCTTATTTCGTTTACCACATTAGTTGTGTGAAACTGGGTAGAAAGTGAGTCAAAAGCATTTTACCGAAAAAAGGCGAATATTGTTCTGTAGGCGTAATACACTACTCATAAGGTTGCTGAAAAGTTTTCTGCAGCCCAAGATCGGTCTCACCCTTTCTGGGCTCATCAGGTAGGCGCAGTCCCCATGTTTCTGTTAACTTTATTTTTTACTTGAACCCAAATTGCACGAACTGAGAGAAAGACACTCATTTGGAAACAAATTTGGTTTCGCGGGAGACCCACTTGGATCCCAGCTAAATCTCTCGTTTATGATGCTTTTAAAAATGAGTGAATTCCGCTGAATAATCTTCACTTTGGTTGGTATACAGTGTATGGTTCTCTTACATAGGTTTGTTGGATATTGGCATGAATCTCACACGATCAGCTGTTCTCTTAAGGATTTTCAGTCATCTTTTCCTCCGAAAAAATTACGATCGCATGGTAGAAAACTGGCAGCTGGTCTCACTACAACGATACCATGCCAGTGAAGGTAACCTTTCCGGCATAAATTCCTTAGTACGGCTTCGACACACGTACATCGGAAAAAAATCGATCAACACAGCGAGCAAGAGTCAAACTGGTTAGAATCAATAAGCAACGCTGTGAATCTGGTAAGTCATGTGGAGCCGATAAGTAAATACCTGGCAGGAGTGGACAACGTCTGCTCAAGATGATTTGTATACAAAGTCTTGGGTTAGAAATACAGGAACGAGCTTAGTGCTTAGAAACTTTAGCGTACTTCATGAAGTGGCTTAAAGGCATTTGAAGCGTCTGTTCTGTGCCTGATGACAAGTAAATGTTACGCCGTTTTCCGCACTTCGATACATACGTTTTTCCAATTGCCTCATTGTTTGACTAATGTAGTTGCCTCCACAGGGACAAACAGATTCATATTAAAGCGATTTGAAGAGTGCGTTTGTCTTTTAGCTCTTGTCTAATGACAGGTTGAGTAGTAAAAGCTACATTCAAGCGGATGACAACGAATGTTCTGGTAAAAGTTGTTTGTACTCCTCCAATACACACCTCACTTATCACGTCAACGTCAAATGCGAAACAGAGGTAAATTGACCTGGGTTTTCCTCCTCTATGGTTTCTTTCGGAGGCCTCAGCTTGAAACGTTTTCCCAGAAATCTTTCTGAATGGTCAGTCATTTTGTTGAAACAGACTGAATAAAGTCCACTTCCTACTGCAGTGTTTTCTGGGCCATATAGAGGCCATGTACGGGCCATGTACGAGGTCCCATCTGGCCTTGAGAGAGCAAAAAGCTGCAAAATTGTGTGCGGTGAACTGTCCATGTTGGCCTATAGCATACCAATAGTTTTATATTGACCCGTCTTGTGTACTGGTCAGTAACACGTTAGAGAAGGGTAGCTGTTCAATTTCGCATGTAAAAGATATGTCTAGATATGTCTGGGCCTTATTGAAAATATCCAGAATAGAGTGAGAGAGAGTGAACAGAATGATCTATGACACAGTACGAAACTACAATCAAAGCATCCGCCGTCTAAGTCAAAAGTTTGAACCGTGTCGGTCAGTGTCGCATTTTCCAGTTCGGACATGAATACGTTGGCGAGCAGATGGCAACTCCGTTTATCTGTCTGTAAAATAGTCCATCCGACAGGAAGTGAACGTTTATCGTACAGGGTAAATTCGATTCTCTTGAGTCTCTGGATTTAAAACAGTTGGCGTTTCAAGATCTTCCCTGTAGGGTTTATGGAAGCCGGACGTTCGTAAACAGGGATGTAACGTTTAGAGATAGAATCTGTTCATACCTTTAATACGGTCAATAAAATGAAACGCCACGCTGTATTGTTCCACAGTGGCTCAGATCCGTTCTAACACGTTGTAAAACCACTTGGCTAGATCAGGGCATGATGAGTTAGATAAAACGAGACGCTGACCTTGAACACTTTAGGTGGCTTACACAAACGGGGAATGTGAGTTCTTTTAGGCTTGACTTGCTGATATTCTCGTGGAGTGGTACAGCGGCACTCTCCAGTCCTTTCAGAAAATCATCTGGTTAGATTTTGAACGTCCGAGTATTAGCTTTTGCTCTGGTTGACAGTTCCGAAATAATCTTTTATCTTTAAAATCACAACCTCAGACCCTTTATCTGGTTTAGTATGGGCGACATCACTGTTTTTCGCGGCACGACATACTACTTATGAGGTTGCTGAAGACTCTTCGATAGCCCACCACACGTCTCGTTCTTTTTGGGGCTCATCAGGTCTCCACCAGTCTTGTACGCTACTTGAACACCGAATCGTGCGCACCTGGCAAAATGCACCCGTTTGCAAATTACATTGGTGTTAACAAGAGACTCGGCTGAATCCCAGCTGAATCTCTCGTTTATGTTGAACAGTTTTAGCAGTCACTTAGTTGCTTCACAAGTTCCATCAAATTCGCGCCGAGTTTATCAGTCCTCACTTTTGGCATTACTTATCAGTGTTTTGACTTCACAGGCTGTTTAGGATCAACTGTGTACATTACCTACGTATGTTTCAGCCGTATGAAGAGAGGTCAAAAAGGTTACCTTCGCTGAGATGATGTTGTTTATAACTGATAATGGGAATACATCAGACACTGACGTAACCTTGAGTTGGAAGAGCTTACTTCATCGAGTTTTTGTGCTCACATTGCATACGTCATTGGTCATTACTTGATAGTCGGTCGATTAGTCGATCGATATCTATGTGATCGTTGCTCACGCTTAGACAAATTTGTCCCATCTCTTGCCCAATGGTATCGTTTAGATTTGATCAAATTTTGTTGCGTCGGTAAAACCCGTCCATTCCTCACCGTGTCCATGAAAATACTGACACATACGACTCATTTGGACGGTACTCACGCGTTACAGTTAAAGTTTTGGTTGCTCCATTCTGCATTGAACCAAATCTGACGTAAGAAATGTTTCGGATGGCACCTCAAGTTCCTAGTTTTTAGGTTCCGTTGTGTTAGACAGCTGACTTTCAGCGAGACATTCACGTAAGGTGTGACTGAACAGGCAACCCGTGGAGAAGGAACTACTGGCCGAGCTAACACAAATAATTCGTCGTGAGAAAAATCAGTCAGTATTGTTTGGTGTGTGTGTGTGGATCGGGAGTGTTGTATCAAAAAAGAGCCGAACGATTCGAGCGGAAAATAATGCTCGGACAACTGACCAAAACTGTCTCATCCTAAGGATAGACCAGACACACACTGTCCCATACAATCCTCATGGAACCAATGAAGTAGAAGAACCAGCCACTCAGCAAAATAGTTGCAGAAATTTCTTTCATTGACGAAATTCGAGCGAAATTCGGGCTAGACACTACCAAAGTGTGCACTGACTTCCAGCGTGCCGTTGACAAATCCATCGAACAAATGATGTAGGTAAAAGGCGAAATTTATTGAAAAACGATGTGCTAATTGCTCCATATTCAACAATCAATAACGTCGGACTCGCGATACGTAGCACAGGTCCTAACAGTCCTTTGAAGGGATGGACCAAAAGTGACGGGCCTTAGAAAGTCTCCTATGATGAAAAAACGTACAGAACTGTATTAGGTCACGTAAGGAGATTGCGGATCCAGAAATCTGAACTGGCGTTCACAGAGAGCGGTACCAAAAGGAGGTATCAGGAACATCGAGAAGTGACAGAGAGTCAGGTGATACTGAGCAGTAGGTGTTAAAAACCACCGGACAGTTGAGAAAAAAATAGAGAGCCATTTCAGCACCTAAAGGTTATTCTGTTTCTGCTGCCAAGCGGAAAAGCTTCCAACACCGAGTAACTGGAAAGTCTCGCGAAGCATTAGTTCGCCAGGTTCGTAAAGTCTGTATTTCTCGGTCGACTTGTTCTATCTCATCCCACACCACAAATGATTAACTGTCTGAATGACTTCAGCCTCAGTTAGTTGAAGCAACCGGTCTGGATATGTTTGATCATTCCATCTTATGCTAATTGACCAGTCAAGCCTGTGCACGAGCCTATCAAGCTTAGGTCATTGATGGCTATTTTTGACCGATTTCGATCGATAGGTCTGTCCCGGTTGTATGACGCCAGCTTTATCTTCTATTGTAGGCCGACTGTGGCCACGGTTCACTCCGCGTGCTATTTATTCTCAATATGTCGAGAGTGGTTTCGCGAATTCAATTAAGGTTGGACCGTTTCCGCATGAGAAGCTAAAAGCCTACATCACTTGCATTCAGTTAGGAGGCAGAATTACCCTTGATAACCATGCCTGAACCATGAGGATTAGTGTAACAGAAGACAACCAGTTGTAGTCAGATCGACAACGAGGTACGACACGAAATAGATAGCAACCAGACTAACACCTTGCCCATAATTGAAAGCGATTTGTTCGTGAGATGTTTGCAGGGATTTCAGAATTTTTTCATCTGATTCGTCGTTTTAGGTGCTGGGACACGTTGCACCAATCGCTTGAAATTAGAGTGAATCCTGTGCGATTATCGAACAGCAAGTCTCGAGATCGAAGCTTGGCGGAAGCCAACTAAAGTGACAACTTCGGGGAAATGTATGCTCCGCAGAGGCACCCGTGACCTATACGACGACATCCTTCCGTCCACCGTCTAACGCGTTTACCTCACCTCTTTCAAAGCGAATGCTCGTTACCTCCCGCCATACAATCGTGATAAATCACCGGAGTCCCGTTACTTCAGAGCAGATATCCCCAAGTACCAGAGGACCTTGCCAGTGGTTTGCTACTGAGGTCTAGAAAATAGCGAAGATAAGGACATCGTTCACTATGTTTCGTACGCACAGTGCATGTGTTGTGATGATCTGTAGACTCGTAGAATCATTTCCACGACATTATACTTTCGTCCATCCGCTTTTGATTCGAATCATTCTCTTATCAAAGCTCAACATTCGCCAGAGATCCTCAGCATTGATGAAAGAAACTTCAGTCCATCACTCGACCCGTTTGGTTTGAACCAACCTGAATAGTTACGTCAAAACAGGTGGAGGATTGTTAAAAACGAAGTGATGTAGACTCTTCTGATTACGAACTGTTTTTTGCGTAGAGCTATCGTGAGTTTAGCCAATGTATACTGAAAAGCCGAGAAGCACTGTACAGTTGTTTCATCCTCATTGAGAATCATCAGCAGTGCGCATCTCACGAAACTCCGGAGAGTCTCAAACCTGCGGCCTTATGGCTAGCAGTTCGAACACTTGACTTTTTGGCTACGAGCGGTTACAAGAAAACCAAATCTCCTCAAAGTACCAACAGGTATGAACTGTGTTCAACAAAAACCCAACTGTGTCAAGCAGCTAGGTCATTCATACTTGGAATAACTAAACAAGTTTCTATCAGCAAATGAGTTAGCCGGAAACGTCTTACTCGTCGTCAACAGCTGTAGATGGAGCTGACACGAAATGTCCACCTGGTGTTCCTAGTCAGATAGCTCTCCAGACTCAGTTAAGCAACAACAGAACCGCCAGACTTAACACCACATTACAGCTCTTATGATGCTCAAGGTAGTGTTCGACAAAGTGCTCCACGGATAAAGCCCGAATGAATGACCTACGGCGTTTTAGCGACTACCGGAGGCAATGTTCTTTCTGGTCACTTTTCACTAGGCTCACGCACAAGTGCAGAAAGGTGATGAGTCATTGACTGAAAGATTTGGCTGACAGCACTGGAATAATTGAATAAGGTGACATATCTGATAACTAATCGTAGCTTCATGAGGAGACCCAGAACCAAAGCGAAGAGTTTATTGGAACCGTCGAGGTTTGCTTGAATTATGTGCTACGACCGCTCTACCCAAAGATTGATGTTCTTATTTGACCTTTGTGGTACACGCAGGAATACTGTCGACTATTTGGTTTCAAAATCCAGCTCAGTTCTAAACAGTCTTCTGAGCATGTTGCTGAAAATTCGTCGACAGCCCACGACCGGTTTCGCCCTTCTTGGGGCTCATCAGGTAGGTGCAGTCCTCGAGTTTCCGTCAACCTTATGTTCTACTTGAAACCAAATTGCACGAAATTAGCGAATATACACTCATTTGTAAACTAATTTGGTTTTTCGAGAGACTCACCTGGAACCCAGCTGAATCACTCGTTTGTGATGTCTCCAGGCAGTGATTAGTGCATTACAAATATGCACGTATCGTGATATCTCGAATACTGTAGCGACTGAAACATGAGGTGGCCTGGTGCAGCACATTTCGTTGCCTGGAAACATCACAAACGAGAGATTCAGTTGGGTTCCAGGTGAGTCTCCCGAAAAGCCAAATTAGTTTGCAAATGAGTATAGTGCCCTGAGCTGTCCAAGGGCGTGCTTATTCCATAAACTTAAAGTAAGGTTTCCGCTGCGTGCACCTGAAAGGCTGTATGATTGTAGAAAGCGAACTTGAACCGGAAGAGGACATTCACTTGGAATATCTGCCAAGTTTGTGCTGCAGAAATGACCGTTGCCTTGAGGCAACGCTTCTTATGAACAACTGTCTATCGGTTTTACCGTTTCTACGCCCATCCGGTAGGCAAGATCCCCAAATGGTACCAAGCCCTTCTGAAACGATCCCTGAATTTTCTTCAACTTTGTGTTTTACTGTAGAACCAGGTTGGACCTATTTTTACCTAAACTCTGTTTTACAAACTAAAGTGTTGGCAACGGGTGACCCGACTGAACATCTTGGTTTTGATACTCCCTATCGAGTGAAAGCACCTTGACATTCTGGCCCAACTTACACACAAGCTGGCCTCTGTACAGCATACTTGGTTGGATAGAGAATATCGCTAACGAGAGAAGTAAGTGAGTTTCTTTTGAGTCTCACTTCAATACCAGTACACTTCGCAAGTGGATGCATGACTCCACGGAACTAGCTGTTGTCCTGTTTTTCATTCCCGAACCGAAGATGTATGAAGTCTATGGTGTAGGTTCACGGAGTAATGGTCCCTGATGGAAGGCGGTAGTGGGCTCAAGAGTAGCAAGACGACTCAGCTAAAACCATGCCCCTACTCATCCACAGCATTTGCTTCAATGTCTGTAGCTTCCGTTCCTTCTAACGCACTGGTGCCAATCATAAAACCTAAAGACTAGGGTAACAGCCACACTGTAAATGATACAATGATTCGAATAGATAAGTTTTTTGACCATCCAAAAACGATTTCCCCAAGTTCCCTTTGCACAGGGGGTTTGTGTGTGTACGTAAGTCACTTCAGCACATGGCTGTTACACAGTCATCAAAAGCAAACGCTAGAAATGTGTATTTAAAAAAAGCCACGTATGTTTGGCGTGAATTTCGACAACCACTCTCGTCTAATGGCAAATGCTTCGTCCCGTTGAAACAGCAACAAATTCAATGCCAGTCGGACAGAGGCACACACGCACACATGCACCACACACGCACACATGCGCGCACACACGCACAACGCACACGCGCAAGTTTTTACCAATGCTGTCAGCTGTCTTCACAAACCAGTGCACCCTCGCAAAAAAAACAATGAGTCAGACCAACCGCGCGTCTAACTCATAAACCTGTCCACAATAAACACTTCAATCAGGATGACGGTTGCCATGACCAGACAATGCACAAGGTCAGGTGAAAAGAGACAGTGATACACATCTATTTGGGATGGCAAATCATCTTCAGGGTATTTATTGTAAATGTACCCAGGTTTGAGGAAAACGAGCCTCACTGAATGTTTTATTGGACAGGAAACAATTGGAGTTTAATTCACACTCACATCACTCACATCTCAAGAGCCGATCGACTGTTGTTAAATTTTTATTGCGTTGTGTCGCAATCAAATCAGCCTGTCATTAGGCAGGCAGTCGCAAGAGGGTTAAGAGAACAGAGATGAATTTGCTCGGTACACCGTCTGTCAACAAGTCGGCTTTGGGCGCATTACAGTTTAAGTGAAGCGGCTGTCTGCATCATGTGAGCCTTGGTTCAAATTCAAATGGTGCATGGTGGCGGCGGCGAAAAGGTCACACCGTGTGATCGATCGGCTGATTGTTTTTCCTCTTGACAGGATAAAACTAATGAGTTTTGGAAGAACCTTGACCATCCGAGGGATGCTAAAAGCTAACAGCGGTTAATTTCAGAGACATTTGAGACTTCTGTTAAAGTACTTCATTTAGAAACAACTGTTTAACTCCCCGCGTTTAGTTAGACAAAGCCGTCCCCTAGCGACATCATGGTATTGGTGCCATTGTAGTTTGTGGAAGAACAGCTGTGACAAATGATTTGGTATACTTTCCGTCCTGGTGAGAGTGATGACCGTTACACAATGAGGATGAGCGACACACACACGTGTCCCTATGTTGAGCTTCCGTCAAGTTGATCACTTTATTTTCCAGACAAAGGTATCTCGTGGATCAAGAACGCCGAATGAGCGATAGGATGAACGGTATTTTGTTGTCAGATTGATATATTGATTGATGTTATAATACAATATAATATAATATAAACATAATACCTTAAATACTGTTTCTTTCTGTGTCTTTGAGATAAGACATATCTTTTTTCTAACAGTCTTTGTTTCATGAAATACTCGCGATAGTTTGTTTTCAGAGTCGAGGTTTGACGAAGAATCGTTTATGCACTTGTGCCATATGGACAGATTCACCCATCACAGAGTTGATCGGTTGTGTCCGTTGGGTCGCGTGAGATATATTCACATGGAGTTACTGAAGAAGTCTTTATCCTGGACGAATAGTCTCATCTGTAAATCGATTTGGTTTTCACGCGAGACTGAACTGAATCTCTCGTTTATCATATTCTTCCTTCAAATGTGCTACACAAAGGCCACCTCATATTTCAATTGGTACGATATATGAGATGTTGCAGTCCAGTTGAGGTTCAACTGGAATATATGTTTGAAGGAAATACAGGGACCGCACTTGCCTGATGAGCCCCCCAAGCTGTGGGCTGTGGATGAGTCTTCGTAAACCTTGTGAGTTGTTTTCTTTATGGAAAACTCTTTACCTTATCCTTCATCCTATCCTAGTGACAAACGCTAGTTGTCCAATGAGGAGTTTGGAATGAGGACATAGTCGGAGAGTTTACAACACGAGAAATCGTTCCGAAACCCATCGCGCTTGACCCAGCTTTGGAGCTGGAGTGGCCCGAAGGCATCTCGGAACATGCCGAATGTGCTACACAAAGGCCACCTCATATTTCAATTGGTACGATATATGAGATGTTGCAGTCCAGTTGAGGTTCAACTGGAATATATGTTTGAAGGAAATACAGGGACCGCACTTGCCTGATGAGCCCCCCAAGCTGTGGGCTGTGGATGAGTCTTCGTAAACCTTGTGAGTTGTTTTCTTTATGGAAAACTCTTTACCTTATCCTTCATCCTATCCTAGTGACAAACGCTAGTTGTCCAATGAGGAGTTTGGAATGAGGACATAGTCGGAGAGTTTACAACACGAGAAATCGTTCCGAAACCCATCGCGCTTGACCCAGCTTTGGAGCTGGAGTGGCCCGAAGGCATCTCGGAACATCACATGACCCTGTCCGCTAAATATGCTGTTTCACGAAAGTCGCCAGGCTGACATCATAACCTGTTTCGCCAGCCCAAAACATCGAGCCGTCTTCGAGCTCAAATTGTGCAACTCTCATAAATTACTTCTTTCCCAATCATTTATTTCCTTTGGTTTCTCTGTCTCACATGGGATGCCATTTCCTCAAATCGACTGAGCATGCATGGACATACCGAACCAATGTTGTGTAATTTCCCTGCTTGTCACAGGCATAACGTGAACAGCGTCACCGTTGCAACAATTCCTATCCAGCTCACAATCTCCATGAGCTCTACGTCATCGAGAACATGCTCCGGTGCCTGTTTCGTCCTGGACGCCCACCTTCAGTCACCCAAACTTGCATACACTTAACGACTCTCTGTTGCTTCTGTACCAAGTAGTGCCGCAACTGGTTTCCCCGTCACCCTTTTTTCAAACCCCCGGGGCACCATCCGTCCGATCCTCATTTTGGCTTGTCTGTTAAGGTCAGGACTGGGGAATCGGGCAGTTAGCTGTATTTGTCAAATCCCAACCCACTTAGCAAGAAATCTACGAATAGTTGGACTTCCCGTCGTGTTTGCTATCGGCTGCTCGAAAGACAGCAGTTGATCTGGGTTAACTTAACGTCAGTGTACCGTTCGGAGCCCATCGGTTAGCGTAACTTCTTGCACATGAGTCTGACTCTCGTTAGACGGCCAACATGTTGATTCATGCTATCTTCGGACCAATCAAGCTCAAACGCTGATTCAAGCATGGTGGTTGTTGGAGCGACCTCACGTGCAAACGCTCAGACCGTGGCCTGATTCTGAGCTTTCCCACTGGCTCATTCATGAACAGTAGTCCGGCCCAAATCCAAAGTCCACTGGTTCATTCTCAGCGACTCTGGTTTGATCACTACTACTACTGCCGCACCAGTAGTTATGTAATCCAAGGGGTTTGAAAAACGAACCGTTAGGCTAAATTCGGCCATATCATTAGCACATGCATAGGTGGTGACGGTGTACTGCCAGTCAGCTGCTCTTGACTGTTGAACACGAGTGCTCAATCTCGTCCGATGAAAGCCCGGAAATATCTCATAGGAAGGCTCACTAAGGCTCATACAGTTATAGACGTAATACACTACTCAGAAAATCCTTGAAAACTCTTCGACGGCCTACAACCGGCTTCGCTCATCTTGGGGCTCATTAGGTAGGCGAAATCCTTGTCAAAACCAAATTGGTATGCGAATGAGTGTATTTTCCATACAGTTAGTTAGTTATTCAGTACGTGTTTTCGGTGAACCGACCAGAACGAAAAGGTGGACTTCACTTCGCACAGATGACCTGATTTTGTCCTTGCAGGTAGCACGACCTCTCAGTTTCGGACACACGTGATGTGAATCGCAATTCTTATTTGACAATTCAAAATATATCACAATAAGTTAGCCCAGGAGAGGTACCATAAAATTACTTCCAACATCCGAAAACCCATCAGCAAGGGCACCTCAATTTATCGAGGGATGTATATAGACTTGATATACTGAGCCCATTGAAGTGACATGCGTTTTTTTACCAATGCAAGCGGGACTTACTCTTCGAGTTGAATATGTTGAATATGTCTATTTTGAGTCGACTGAGCAATGGGGCATTGGAGTGTTAGGAACTTTTATCAGTGTGAACCAATGAGTAAAATATGTAACCCTCGTCACCTTCGTCGTAATTCTGACCGTTATT